AAATTGAACTCCCAGACACACCCTTTCTCATGAACAGAACCTTCAAAGGTTCAGGAAATAAACATTATTTCATGTTCAATCAGACTCATAATCCCACATCACAAAAACAATTTTATTTTATTAGGTAAATGAAATGAATATTGATTAAATTGCAACTTAGCTCTATTTGCTATGAAAATCATGGTGATTTACCAGTTTTTAAACAGATACTGTTACAAATCAGCAATAACATAGTTTAAATCAGTCCTGGGTCTACAGCCTCAGTCCTGGGTCTACAGCCTCAGTCAGTACTGGGTCTACAGCCTCAGTCCTGGATCTACAGCCTCAGTCCTGGGTCAACAGCCTCAGTCCTGGATCTACAGCCTCAGTCCTGGATCTACAGCCTCAGTCCTGGATCTACAGCCTCAGTCCTGGGTCTACAGCCTCAGTCCTGGATCTACAGCCTCAGTCCTGGATCTACAGCCTCAGTCCTGGGTCTACAGCTTCAGTCCTGGGTCTACAGCCTCAGTCCTGGGTCTACAGCCTCAGTCCTGGATCTACAGCCTCAGTACTGGGTCTACAGCCTCAGTCCTGGGTCTACAGCTTTAGTCCTGGGTCTACAGCCTCAGTCCTGGATCTACAGCCTCAGTACTGGGTCTACAGCCTCAGTCCTGGGTCTACAGCTTCAGTCCTGGGTCTACAGCCTCAGTCCTGGATCTACAGCCTCAGTCCTGGATCTACAGCCTCAGTCCTGGATCTACAGCCTCAGTCCTGGGTCTACAGCCTCAGTCCTGGATCTACAGCCTCAGTCCTGGATCTTCAGCCTCAGTCCTGGATCTACAGCCTCAGTCCTGGGTCTACAGCCTCAGTCCTGGGTCTACAGCTTCAGTCCTGGGTCTACAGCTTCAGTCCTGGATCTACAGCCTCAGTCCTGGGTCTACAGCCTCAGTCCTGGGTCTACAGCCTCAGTCCTGGATCTACAGCCTCAGTCCTGGGTCTACAGCCTCAGTCCTGGGTCTACAGCCTCAGTCCTGGATCTACAGCCTCAGTCCTGGGTCTACAGCCTCAGTCCTGGGTCTACAGCCTCAGTCCTGGGTCTACAGCCTCAGTCCTGGGTCTACAGCTTTAGTCCTGGGTCTACAGCCTCAGTCCTGGATCTACAGCCTCAGTCCTGGATCTACAGCCTCAGTCCTGGGTCTACAGCCTCAGTCCTGGATCTTCAGCCTCAGTCCTGGATCTACAGCCTCAGTCCTGGATCTTCAGCCTCAGTCCTGGGTCTACAGCCTCAGTCCTGGATCTACAACCTCAGTCCTGGATCTTCAGCCTCAGTCCTGGATCTACAGCCTCAGTCCTGGGTCTACAGCCTCAGTTCTGGGTCTACAGCCTCAGTCCTGGATCTTCAGCCTCAGTCCTGGATCTTCAGCCTCAGTCCTGGATCTTCAGCCTCAGTCCTGGGTCTACAGCCTCAGTCCTGGATCTACAGCCTCAGTCCTGCAACTAATAATCTTATAACCAGTTAACAACAACCGGCGCGCCGGCGGCTGTTTTTATGTTTTTAAATGTTCTGCTGGCAATAGCAGATGTATTTTGAACACCAAACCCCAAAAGCTGTATATCATTTTAAAGCTTATTTTCTTATCTACATTTATATACAAGTGTAAACTACATCAGACTTTGCATTCAAAAGATATAACACATAATGTGGGCACAAAATAAATCAATTCCGAAATAGTTTTTTACCTTTGGGCTTGTGCTGTACAAATAAATCAGCTCTCCTCCCAGCTTGCAATACATCATTCTCTCTGGAACAGTCCAAAGGAAAATTATATCCACTTGTATTTCCCAAAGTAAAATCCATTCTGCAGAAATAATCCAAAAATGTGCATTTATCTTTAGCGAAAAAAACGAAAAAAAAGAGCACAGATGTTACTCTTACTCACATCTGGTATCTACGTGTTCCTTAGCTCCTTATCTTTCAAATGAGACTACTCCCGAAAAGCTAGACCAATTTTTGGGTCTGCAATAGGTCCCGCAAGTACCGTTCGTGCTGCTGTTTGCGCATGGAGGACTGATCTTTGTTGTGCTCCCAACTTGTTTGCTTTTACTTCCGGGATTTTCGATTGACATGTCCTTGTAGCCAATGAGGAAAGCTTTCGAACAAGGGGTGGGACAATGGTGTCCTGTCTTATGTTGTGCCTGGACAATTGTGCGTAATGGAAGCCAAAAGACGCTCTCGAAGCTGCAATGAATTTACACTCATAAAAAAATAACTTTGACATTTAAAAAAGAAAAACACACATAGATTAGTAACTTATAAGTACCAATAATAAAAAATATTGTTTTTATGATGATTAAATGTAAGTAAAGATATTTGGCACAATTTGGCACACTTGTGCCAAATTGTGCCAAATGTGCACTACTTGATGAAAAGGAGAAACTGTATAAAAACTATAAAACTTAGAAGTCTGAAACTTTAGACAGTTGTTGTCAACAACACAATGAACAGAGGGTTTGAATATTGTGAACTTACAATGAAGTATGCCTTTTTTAGGGCCTTTAGACATTGAAAATGTTAGGCGAGGCTAAAAAAATTGGGTTTTTTTCCCTAACTTCAAAGGATGCAGTGGAAAATAGGAATGACAAACATTATTTTAGTGTTTTTTTACATAAACTAGAAGGCTCTAGCTTTAAAATGATGCATCACACAAGCATGTGAGATGTAAGATGTGTTTTTAAATAAGCAAAGACATTTGGGTATGACCAACCATTGTGCACGAGCCAAAATGAGGCGGTTGTTATGGCTTTATAATTACTCATTCCCTGTGAAATGGCAGCAGTTGAAAATTGGGAAGTTGGGAATTGTTTGCAGTGCAACCATGTTAGCAATTAGCATAGCAGCTACCGTTAGCATGCTAGCATCAATTGTATTCATAAAATAATTATTCCATTGATACAAAACGTACCAAAGCAGATAAACACTCACCACAGTTGTATTGTTCCAGATTTCTTTGTTCAGGCTGATGTCTGGAGTTCCAGTGAATGATTCACGTTTTTCCAACAACATTGACATTGAGCTAACCATGCTAACTTTAAGGTAACAATGCTAAAATCAAGCTAATCAAGCTAACTATGCTAAGTTAACAGTGTGCTGCTTCTCACCTCGTTTCTCAGTATTTCTGCTCAATCAGTCCCTTCTCTGGTTCTCAGGCCTGTGTCAGGGAGAAAAGACTGTTTATAAAACATTTAGTAACAAAACAAAATAATTATTGTTATTTGACCATTTTCGTACTTACGCTCTGCTCAGAACAAACACAGTGACAACACACACATGTCCAAGTGACATTAAAACAGCTTTTAACTTTAATGCCAAATAATGGGCTATATTCACGGGGAGGCGTGACGTCATTTCCTGTTAACAAAGATCAGCCCGTTCACTTCCTGTCTATGCTATCTATGGCTTTTAGTGACGTTTTAGAGACGTTTTTAGTAATTAGATTGATACATTCAGCTGAGACTGACCCAAAAGTGTGGATGTGCTTTCTCTCTGAGGTAGAGCTGTGACTGTGGCCACTCAGAGAGATTAGTAAACTTTATAAAAACACAATGACAGCACAATCAGAGAGCACTGCTGTGTCCCAGAAATGCCCAGTATCCTACAGTTTAATTCCCGTTTGAGCATTATTTGGGAAAGTCGTGTAAACCACTGAACTCCAGTGAAACTCAAGCCGTTCCCGCGCACAGGAAGTGAAGTGGGGCTTTAGCTAAAACGCAGAAGTGGTGCGTGCATAGAGCCTATTCTTGACGATTCAGGTTTCAGGACAGGTTTTAGAAGTAAAAAGATATTTAAAAACTTAAATATATATATATATGTGTAGAGGATGTAGAACTACAAAATTATAGCACAAAGTGCATTCAATTTGATGAGAAAAATAAATAAAGCATTAATTAATTCAAAATGTCACAGTAAATAGACAGATTCTTATTAGGGTCAATTTATAGAATTGCCCTGTTCTTACATTCTATATTTTGATAACACAAATTCTCTGTATTTTGTTTTGAATTGATTCACTGTTGCGCATTGCTTGAGCTGTTGTCCCAGTCCATTCCAAACTTGAACTCCACAAACAGAAACAAACATTTTTCTCCTAGTGGTCCTAGAAAACGTTACTTTGAGTTTTCCAAATCCCCTCAGACTGTAACCTCCATCTCTTTCTGCAAAGAGTCTTTGAATATTTGCTGGCAACATATATTTACTTTATTTGTGCAGGAGTTGTGCTGTATGGAATTCAACTAAGTCAAGCTTTAACAATTTAGACTTTAAAAAAAGTACATTTGTGTGATCCAAATACCTAACCATGTGAAAATTCCTTATGGCACGCTTTTGAAGAATTACTAGGGGATGTAGAGAACTTTTATAATTATTACCCCAAATATCCAACCCATAGGATAAACATGGTAAAACAAGACTGCAATAAAGTTTTGTGCATTATGACCCAGAACATGTTTGGTTTTGTTCATTACCGATATATTTTTTGAAATCTTCTTTTGTATATGACTGATGTTTGACTTCCAGTTTATCTTATTGTCAATAATTATTCCAAGAAACTTTATTTCAGATACTTCCTCAATTTTAGTACTATCAATACATATACATTTTCTTTTCCTAACTTTGCAATTTCCAAACATTATAACTTTTGTTTTTTCTATTTTTAGTGACAATGTATCAATATCCATCCATGTTTTCAATTTAATCAATTCATTGTTGACATTGTTCACTAAAGTATCAAAATTATCGGCAGTTTGAGTAAGTTTGATACATTAATTATATCGTCAATGTACAAGTTAAAAAGTTCAGGTCCCAGTATGGATCCCTGAGGCACACCACAAGTGATGCTCTGTAGTGATAGTGAATTCCCCCGTCTTCACAAACTGCTGTCTCTCTGTTAAATAGCTCTTGATCCATTCCCAAGCCACTCCCCGTATTCCATATCTGTCAAGAAACTGGACCCCCTGCAGTTCGCCTACAGAGCCAACAGATCCAGGAGAGGTTGAGTGTGGCCCAAGGGGGAGAACCCAAACCCCCTGTCGAGTGGTTGCCCAAGGCAGCGCCTCCCCAACCTCTCAGTGAGGCCGTCCGTGAAGACCTCGATGGGTGGTCCACAACACCATTCGAGACACCCTCCTGGAGGTCGACCTGGGGGACGCAGAAGGCGACGTCGTTCTGAGCCCTCACCGACAGTCCGCTCCTCATTGATAACCCCTGGAGGGTGTGAGAACCAACCTCTGGAGATATCGCATTGTGCAGCAACCCTAGTTCTCACCACTGGACGTGACGCTGCCATCATGGCCCCCCCCCCCCAAGAGTGACTGGATCTGCCGCGGTTGGACCGAGGTTCACTCCAGAACGAACGGCCAGGTTTCTGAACCGCCGCTTCTCTTTCTCTGGCGAGAGTGAAGCCGTCATGCTCCTGGAACCCAAGCCCAATTCCCAGATACGAGATCTCCTGGGCCGTGGCACAGGGAGCTTTTGTCCCTATTGATCACAAACCCTGGTGACACGTGATTTAACACTGCGGGACGTTTGATCCTGCTCATCCTCCCGAGGAGGACAGGATTCACCATTCGTTGATAATACCGTCAGTGGTCCTGAGGCCCTGACGCCGAAGGGGTTCTAGCGCCGACCTACCACACACTTAGGAGGAATGGTGCGGGGGGGCTGGAAGTAGCCGAGTGGGGGATCGAGGAACTTCTTGGTGGCCCCGTTGCCCACAAAATGGGTTGTGAAATTCGCGTCCCTTGAGGTCCACGGAGGACCTCCCAGTCCCCTGCCCCTGCACGCTCCATGAGTAGCTTTTTACCTGTGTAGCATGCGAACAGTCGCTTGGCCTATGCAGCCCTTGAGGACGAGCAGGTACCAGCATGCCAGCACCCCTCGCACTTTTTTTTTTAGGGACTATGAAGTATGGAGAAGTAAAACCCTGTCCCTGCCCTGAGCGGGCTACCTCCACTACGCGCCCGGCGCTGCGAGAGCGTGTTGACCTCCCTGTGAAGCGCCACGGCGTCTACGAAAAATTCCGCAGAAAGGAGGGGCCGCCAGGAAAACTAGAGAGTCATAGCCCCGACTCAGCACGCTGTGTATCCAGAGTTCCCCGAGGGCCCCGAAACCCTGTTTCCGAATACGGTGACAACATGGGTCAAGGGAACACAGCGGGATGGGAGGAGGGAGAAAGGCCTTGTCGCCCACAGATGTCCATCCTGGGGGAGGCATCGATAGAGGGGGCCCGTGGAAAAGGCCTGAGCCCTACGCAAACGGCCCTGGGCCTTTCTCCCCTGGGTGGCCGCGTAGGGCAGGTGAGCTGCAATTACGTGGAGCCGAGCCCCTGCTCCCCCAACACTGTGTACTGAAGGGGGCCGAGCAGTCCCCGCATATTGCAGTGGTGGGGGCCCTTTGGAAAGAGGGCTGGGCCCCTAGCGTGCGGCCGGCTGGGCCCTTTTCCCTGGTTGTGCCTCGTGACGTCGGTGTTCTGCGCTTTACATGGAGCCGAGCCCCTGCTCCCAACACTGTGGACTGAGAGGCGCCGCAGAAGTCCCACTATAGCAGGTGGGAGTCCCCTGGGAAGAGGCTGGGCCCTCTGCGCCCTAGGCCTTTTTCCGGGTGCTGCGTTAGGCGGGGCTGCGTGAGGGCAGTGTGCCTGCGCTTAACGTGGAGCCGGGCCCCCCGCTCCCCAACACTGTGGGACTGAGAGGGGCTGAGTCAGTCACACTTATTACAGTGGGGGTCCCTGGGGAAGAGGGCTGCCCTAGCCTGCGGCCCTGGCCTTTTTTCCAGGTGGGCCGCGTGAGGGCAGTTGCTGCGCTTACGTGAACCGATCCCCCGCTCCACAACACTGTGGACTGGAGAGGGGCCGAGCAGTCCCACTTTTTGCAGTGGGGGGCCCTGGAAGAGGGCTGGCCCCCCTAGCGGGGGGCTGCGGGCCCAGTGGCCTTTCTGCCTGGTGGCCGAGTGGAGCCGAGCCCCCGCTCCTTCCACACTGTGGACTGATAGGGCCGAGCAGTCCCAATTTTTGCAGTGGGGCCCCTGGGAAGAGGGCTGGGCCCATAGCTGCGGCCCTGGGACCCCTTTTTCTGGGTGGCCACGTGAGGGCAGGTGTGGCGGCCGCTTACGTGGACAAGAGCCCCCGCTCCCCCAACACTGAGGGGGGGTAGAGCATAACACTCATTGCTTCTGGATTGTGGGGGCCGCTGGAAAAAAGGTCTGAGCCTACTAGCACGGCCCTGGCTTTACCGTTTAGAAGCGGGAGGGCAGGACAGCAGTGAGCTGGCGCTTGTGCGCACAGAGAGCGTAGGAGAGGTACGTGCAGCCGCGGCACTCTCTGCACAAAAGAGGCCAGGCACGGGGAGCGCACATCGGCCCGGAGCATGCCTCCAGCGCGCGCACGAGGAAGGCGCACTGTAGAGTCTCAGGCACTTGGCAGATGAGGCAGCGTTGGCCAAGCGCTGAGGCAGAGGAAAAGGGGAAAAGAATGTTCTTTTTGAGGGAGTAACGGGCCTAATGATGCTTTTATTAAAGCGTTTTCCTCCCTCCTTGCAGCTGCAAAGCCGGGTGGCGCTGCTCCTCTGCTTGTCACACGCTTGCTGTCACTCTAGCTCTGAGCGGTGCGGGGTGGCAGAGCGGTCCCTGTCCGATGGATGCAGCGAGTAGAGTAATTTATAAGCCATAGCAATGACCTATGATTGCACATGTCCGGGGGTGCAAAATGGGTGGTGGGTTTAATATGTTTATCATATTTTATGGCATGTTGTGTTTTTGTGTTTTTAATACTGATTCGTAATGTCACCACCTGAAGCACCCCGGCTCCCCACGTGAGCAATCAAGAACACCTGAGCCCTTGAGAATAAAAGACTGAGATGGGAGACAGACACGGAGACGGCGGCAGAGAGAGGAAGAGAGGAGGTCAGAGCCGGTCCCCAGAGAGAGGAGGACAAGGGACGTGCAGTCAGGGAGGCAGAGGAGGCAGAGCCTCACCTGCCATTATTGAAACTAATAATTATTTTAGTAACATATATAATTTTATATCCACGTCCTATGCTTAATGTATATTCGGCACGGTCCATCAGTTTGATCGATTTCTGAGTCAAAATCGCCGAAAGTCCCGTTATTCCTATTCAAGAGACGAGGTGAGGCAGCGCTCCTGCGTGCCTCACCCCAGAAAGCTCCCGCACATGGAGTGTGTGTGTGCTGATGCACTCAGCTCGTGCAGTGATATATCACCGTTTGATTTGCAAATATCCTGCATTAAAAAAATTTTTTTAAACTCCCTCGTAGTGTTTAGAAGTGTATGCACGTATGTGTGTAGCAATTTATATTTAGTTTCCAGTCTTTGATCGTAGATGAACAACACGAATGAAAAAGCTTGACGTGAGCAGGCGGTATCTGTGCCTCTCCGCTAGGGTGATAGTGAGCATAAAGTTCATACCAGAGTTGTGCTAACAATACAATCAGCCCAAAATGCTATTTCTTTTTGCTGGAAAATGGTGATTTGAATGAAGATTTTTTTCTGCAATTGACTTTCAAACAAAGAAAGAATTAATATAGACTGGGAGACCACCACTGGACTTACGAGGTAGTCCCGGCCGTGCGGGGGAGGAGGTTGTAATCTGTGTTTTATTTGATACGATTGACCAGATACCGTCAAGTAGTGCCTTTCTTCCGAAAAACACTGATTCAAACACTGCTCAAGAGTTCTGCAACTTTTAAATTATTGTTTATTTCCTCGCGTCTCTCTCTCCTCGCGTCTCTCTCTCCGCCTCTCTCTCCCTCGCGTCTCCGCTCTCTCGGCTCCTCGCGTCTCCGTCTCTCTGCTCCTCTCAGTCTCTCTCTGCTCCTCGTCTGCCTCGCGTCTCTCTCTCCTCGCGATCTCCGTCTCCTCTAGCTCCTCTCTGTCTCTCTCTGCTCCTCCGTCTCCGTCTCTCTGCTCCACTCTGTCTCTCTCTTCTCCTCTCTCCTCGCGTCTCCGTCTCTCTCTGCTCCTCGCGTCTCAGTCTCTCTGCTCCTCTCTGTCTCGCTCTTGCTCCTTCTCCTCGCGTCTCTCTCTCACGCGCGTCTCTCTGCACCTGCGCTTCTTAAAGATGTTTTTTGATGCGGAGGCAGAGTCAGCAGCTAGATTTGTTGTGAGATTATTAAAAAAAGCTGGTTCGCTTATCTTTACAGTATAGAAAGTTTGTGGAATGTCATTGCATTGGTGATTAATGCTATTTAATTTGAAGTAGTGATTGGTAAATCGACTTTTAAGAGTCAGTGCCTCCCCAATCACAAACCTCACCGCAACGTCCCGGGAGGAGGACATGAGAGCCCCGTGGTCGGGCGGCCCAGGCCGTGGAAAGTGTTTTAGCCTGGGCTTTCGCCTGCGTTTTATCCTCCTTTAGCCTGTTTTAGCTTAGTTTTTTATTGCTTTCATTTACTTGTTTTTTTAATGTATTTTTATAATAAATTGCGTTTAATTCCGCTTTTAATCCTGTGGTCCTTTTTAAATCCTGGTCCGAAGAATCTGCTTTTTTACCCTGTGACATGTTTGGCGTTGTCTGGCAGTTCCCGGTAACGACTGTTTTTAAGTTTTAAGGGCCCATGGATGAAGGATGGTGTGCTATCGCTGAGGCCGTCAAGGGTTTTATTCTGCTCAAACCTGTCATTTCTTTCATGGAAGCTGTTTTGAAATGATATTTGAATATGACACATTTTTCATCATCTAGTCCTTTGTAAGTGGGAGGTCGAGGATGTTTTTGTCAAGAGTCATAAAGTAATAGATCAATCTGAACTAGCAGTGAAGAGAATGTTCCCTCTTCTACAGGAGGCTCCCCGGCCCCCCCCTGTGGCCCCTGCCCCCCCTGCGGCCTCGGGCCCCTGTCACTTCGAGGTGCGGCAGTTCCTGGACTGTGCCACGACTCAGAGCGACCTGAGTCTGTGCGAAGGCTTCGGCGAGGCTCTGAAACAGTGCAAGTTTTCCAACGGTCAGTTTTTATCGTTTCTATTTCTACAGAGACGCAAAGGACTGGTCTCTCTCTCTGGTCTCTCTCTGGTCTCTCTCTGGTCTCTCTCTGGTCTCTCTCTAGTCTCTCTCTCTGGTCTCTCTCTCTGGAAACCGGATTAGTCCGGAAGTTCAGTTTGATCCAATGAGCATACGCAGGAGTAGATTACGTCACGGAATCTGGACGGAAGCGGAAGTAAATATAAAAAATTACCTATTCATGCCTAAACTTAACCAGCCGTTCCCATAAAATAACCCCAACCCAGCCTTAACCCTAAACTTAACCATCTTAATCAGACGCCTAAACTTAACCAGTCTCCACTTAAGGACCGAATCCGGTTTCCGGGACGAATAAAAAAAAAAAAAAAAAAAAAAATATAACAAAAAAAAAAAAGAAAAAAAAAACATAAAAAAAATAAAAAAAAAACATAAGAAAACAAGCACAAAAAAAAACAAAAAAAAAAAAATAAAAAAAAATAAAAGAAGCAAACTAAAAGGAACAAGCAACAGAAACAAAAATGAAAAAATAAATAAGACAACCAAAAATTAACACAGCCATAGAAGAAGTAGACAAACACAAATGATACCTGAATAGAGAAGAAAAAATAAACATAATAAAAGAAAATCAAAAAAAACAAAAAAAACAATAAAAAAAACCTAAAACTAAAACAAAATAATAAAAATAGAACGTAAAAGACGTGGGCCGGCACGAAGCACAACCATACAGCGCACAAACAACCCACCCACACAACTACCAACCCACACCTGCTCCCCCGGGCCACGCAACACAGAAACCGGCGACGAAAAATCAAACAATGCACAGAAAACAGAAAAAAAACCAAAAATCCAACCAACAACTCAAAAAAACTATGAAAAAAATACCTACGGAAAAAGTTGAAAAAATTAGAAACAAACCACAAAGAAACTAAAGCAAAAAAACAAAAACATAACCAAAAATCGATAAACCACAAAAAAAAAACCAAAATGAACCCAACACACACCACCACAATCAACCTCTCCTCCACCCAAGAACAGACCAACTGCCCCCCCCACACCCACCCACCCACCCTCCCTCAACCCCCCCCCACACCCTCCCCTACCACATCACCCCCGCCCCAACACCACCCCCGACAGCTCCCACACTCCTTCGGTAAAACGGGTGCATATTCGATACTGCGACGCTATGAAATATCTACTACCACTATTAATAAAAAAACCAAACGTTCAACCGTTTCGTAATCTACCTTCGGACCAAACAAAAAACAACAAAAAAACGAAAAAGGTAATAATACAAACTAAAAGCTAAAAAAACATACAAAAAGACAACAAAATACAATGAAAACAGCGAATAGAAAAAAAACAAATCAAACCGAACAGAAAATAAATAAAAAAAAAAAGATAATAACACAAAAGAAAAAATCAAACAAACAAGTAACAAAATTAAATATGACCAGCGCCTTCAACACGAGCCATACCTACGTAGAAAGAGTGGCGTGACGACTAGCTCCAACCATGCGCGGGAACTAGACCGTGCCGAAGGAACCAAGAATAAAAACAACAAAAAGTTATAAAAAAAGAGAACTACCACGTACCCCGACAAAAAAACAATCCAACTCCAACAAAAGCCCACCAACTCCACACAAACCCCCCCCTCCTAATCCCTTTCCGATTCCGGCCCCAACCGCCCACCCATTACAGCTCCCACTACACGTCCGTCACCCCCCATACGGAAAATTTTCCCACCACCCACACCACCCACAACCCTACCAACGTGACAAGGACTAATGTGATGCTACTTCCTGGTTCTAGTCAGGGGTGTCACTCCCGTATTCGTCCCGGGAAACCGGATTCGTCCGGAAGTTCAGTTTGCGCATGTCAAAAAATGTCCTTAAGTGGTGACTGGTTAAGTTTTAGGTGTCTGAGTAAGATGGTTAAGTTTAGGGTTAAGGCTGGGTTGGGGTTATTTTATGGGAATGGCTGGTTAAGTTTAGGCATGAATAGGTAGTTTTTTATATTTACTTCCGCTTCCGTCCAGATTCCGTGACGTAATCTACTGCTGCGTATCCTCATTGGATCAAACTGAACTTCCGGACAAATCCGGTTCCCGGGACAAATACGGGAGTGACAAGGACTAATGTGATGCTACTTCCTGGTTCTAGTCAGGACTAAAGTGATGCTACTTCCTGGTTCTAGTCAGGACTGTCACTCCCGTATTCGTCCCGGAAACCGGATTCGTCCGGAAGTTCAGTTTGATCCAATGAGCACAGGCAGCAGTAGATTACGTCACGGAATCTGGACGGAAGCGGAAGTAAATATAAAAAACTACCTATTCATGCCTAAACTTAACCAGCCATTGCCATAAAATAACCCCAACCCAGCCTTAACCCTAAACTTAACCATCTTAATCAGACGCCTAAACTTAACCAGTCACCACTTAAGGACATATTAAACTTTTTGACATGCGCAAACTGAACTTCCGGACGAATCCGGTTTCCGGGACGAATCCGGGAGTGACAAGGACTAATGTGATGCTACTTCCTGGTTCTAGTCAGGACTAATGTGATGCTACTTCCTGGTTCTAGTCAGGACTAATGTGATGCTACTTCCTGGTTCTAGTCAGGACTAATGTGATGCTACTTCCTGGTTCTAGTCACGCCTCGAGCTGCAGTGTTTTTCATATTGTGTAAATATTGTGTGTTGCAGGAGTGCAGTCTCTGGTGTGACATCACCTCCGTCGTCTTTACTGTAGAATGTTCTGTGAACCGCTGCTGCTCCATGTTTGGATTTTGAAGACCGTGTAATTAGTATTTTCTTAATGTACAGAAATAAAATAACTTATTAAATCAGTTTTTGTCATTTGTCTTTTGTTTTCTCCATTGGTCTGATCTGCCAAATGGACTCTGATCTCTCTTTAGCAAGGACTCATTTGCCCCGTTTCCACCAGCCCTAGTCTAGTCTAGTCTAGTCCTTCTTGGTCCTGGTTCTATCCAGGCCGAGCCGTGATTGGTCAGAGGGCTGCTGGAAGCCATGGGGACCAGAGAGACCAGCGAGAGAGAGAGACCAGCGAGGTAGAGAGACCAGCGAGAGAGAGAGACCAGCGAGAGAGAGAGACCAGCGAGAGAGAGACCAGCGAGAGAGAGAGACCAGCGAGAGAAAGAGACCAGCGAGAGAAAGAGACCAGCGAGAGAAAGAGACCAGCGAGAGAAAGAGACCAGCGAGAGAAAGAGACCAGCGAGAGAAAGAGACCAGCGAGAGAAAGAGACCAGCGAGAGAAAGAGACCAGCGAGAGAAAGAGACCAGCGAGAGAGAGAGACCAGCGAGAGAGAGAGACCAGCGAGAGAGAGAGACCAGCGAGAGAGAGAGACCAGCGAGAGAGAGAGACCAGCGAGAGAGAGAGACCAGCGAGAGAGAGAGACCAGCGAGAGAGAGACCAGCGACACTTCTATTATGACAGATAACTGCAGTAGTGCGTCCCACCGCCAGCAGAGGGCGCTGTGTTCTCTTCCTGCTCCTTCTTCCGGGGCTGAGATCGTAAACAAAGCGGCTCGGTGGAGTAGTGCTCTATCCAAAGCTCCAGTCCTCTCTGCCCCTCTCTGCCCCTCTCTCCCCGGACAGAGCGTCATCATGGCCGCAGAGCTTCACGCACAGATCGCGTCTATCGTGGAGGTTCTGGCGAACGCCGCGGTGTCTGAGATCTGTAAAGCCGTGGAGGACGGCTACACCGCGGTCAACCTGGAGATGTCCCGTAGTGTCCGGGAGAACGAGTGTCTGCGGAGGAGGGTCCGGCTGCTGGAGCTCCAGGTGTCACGGTACCGAGCAGAGCAGCGGCTGAAGGCGACTGAGGCTCCGGGAACAGGGCGCCTCCTCCCCGGGGGAAGGGCTCTGCAGGCTCACGGTACAGACTCTGGGTCACTTTGATTTAACACGGGTTAAAGTCAAACAGAATGATTCTAACCACGGACTGAGCGTGACAGAACATCTGCCAATAGTGATTCAGTCACTGTATCAGACTGTTGTGGTGAAGAGGGAGCAGCGTCTGCAGTCAGAGCTCTACATTCACCACTCAGTCTCAGTAGTGACTGAAAGGCTAAGCTCGCAGATGAAGAGTAGAAATGATTCTCCTGCAGACTGCAGCTCTCTGAGAGATAGAGGAGCTCATAAACATTCTATTCATAATTATAGTTTTGAATGTGTTTCCCATGTTTCTGTTTCAGAACAATACTTTTTACACTTTCATTCATACATGTTCTGTTTCTGCATCGAGGACACAGCAGCTCTGACTGTCCTCTCTGCTCACAATCCTGAGACGTTCCCAGGATTTGACCTATTATACATGTGTTTATAGTGGTAGTGGAAACCGGAGCACCTGGAGAAAACCTGGACATGCATTCCCCACAGTGACGTGAAGAGCTTTGGTTCAGTTGTGTTTTCTCTGCAGGCTCCAGTCTCCAGAACCGGACCAGGTTCTTAAACCGGCCTCAGTCCAAGTCTCAGGACCAGGACCAGGACCAGGAGGACCAGGACCAGGACCAGGAGGCCGTCACCACCAAAACAGAGGTACACATCCGTAACAAGCAGTCGTCCCACTCTGTATGTTCAGAAAATTAACTTATCTTCCTGTTCCCAAAGATCTGCGTTAGTAAACGTCAACGAACGAATGAGGTCTGAGCTTCATTCAATTCAATTTGTTTTTGTAGCGCCCTAAATCACAATGATAGGAGGAGAGGGAGAGGGAAGGGGAAGGGAGGAGGAGGAGAGGAAGGGAGAAGAGTATTGCCCTAAATCACAATTATAGGAGGAGAGGGAGGGGAGGAGAGAGGGCAAGAGGAGAGAAGAGGAGGGGTGGAAGCGAGGGGAGGGGAGGGGAGAGTATCGCCCTAAATCACAATGGAGGAGAGGGAGAGGAGAGGGAGAGAGGAGAGGGAGAGAGAGGAGGAGGAGAGGAAGAGAGGAGAGGGAGAGAGGAGAGGGAGAGGAGGAGGAGAGGGAGAGGGAAGAGGAGGAGGAGGAGGGAGGAGAGAGAGTATTGCCCTAAATCACAATGGAGGAGAGAGAGGAGGGGAGAGGAGAGGAGGAGGAGGAGAGGAAGAAGAGAGGAGAGGGAAGGGAGAGAGAGAGAGAGAGGAGAGGGAGAAGAGTATTGCCCTAAATCACAATGGAGGAGAGGGAGGAGAGAGAGAGGAGAGAGAGGAAGAGAGAGGAGAGGGAGGGAGAGAGAGAGAGGGAGAGGGAAGGGAGGAGGAGGAGAGGAAGAGAGGAGAGAGAGGAGAGGGAAGAGAGGAGGAGGAGGAGAGGAGGAGAGAGGAAGAGAGGAGAAGAGTATTGCCCTAAATCACAATGGTAGGAGGGAGAGGAAAGAGTAGAGAGAGAGGAAGGAGAAGAGGGAGAGAGAAGAGAGGAGGAGGAGAGAGAGGAGAGCTAGAGGAAAGACAGGAGAGAGAGGGTAGGGCTTGTACAGAAAAAGGTCAAGTCTGTTCTTTAGAGAAAAACATTGCAAGCGACAAAAACAAAATTTTTGTCAGTATTTTTCTTCTTTCTGCTCAGGCTGCAGAGAGAGACGAAGACAGCGACATCATCATCGTCAAAGTGGAGAGCAGGGCTTCGTACCAAGTCGACAAAAACCCTCCAACATCTACGGCCCAAACATGTGACACCCAGGCCCAGTCCAGCAGCCAATCAGAGCTCTCCGCAGGAACCCAGGCCCCGCCCCTGTCCGGCTCCGTCTGCGAGAAAGAACTCAGATTCTCCCACACTCAGAACGCTTCATCGAAAGACGCCATTTTGGGGTTTTGCGACGTCTTAACCGCCGCTAACCAGCCTCAAGCTAACCAGCCTCAAGCTAACCAGCCTCAAGCTAACACACAATCAAACTCAAACCCGTCCAACCCTCACTGTGAGAACCCGAAAGCCTTTCAGAGGACTTTCCACAAGCCGCTGGGCATAGACACTCCCAAGACCAAAAGGTTCCTCTGCTCCAAATGTCCGAGAAGGTTTGAGCACGAGCTGGAGCTGTTTGTGCACCTGAAGAACCACGCCCGGCAGAAGGAGGCGTGTGGCATCTGCGGGAAAGCCTTCGCCTGCAGGAGTCAGCTGAAGGTTAGTATTTTACTATATGTTTATTTGAATAGGGACAGAATAAAAAACATTGTTACAAGTTCATAGGCCGCTAACAGTATAGCTAACTGCTAACAGATATTTTGCTAAGACATAAAAATACATCACTTTTAAATAGAACGTACACAGATAACAGTATATTTACAATACGACCCAGGACGGAGTCTGTAGACCCAAGACTGAGGCTGTAGACCGAGGACTGAGGCTGTAGACCAAGGACTGAGGCTGTAGACCGAGGACTGAGGCTGTAGACCCGGGACTGAGGCTGTAGATCCAGGACTGAGGCTGTAGGTCCAGGACTGAGGCTGTAGACCCAAGACTGAGGCTGTAGACCCAGGACTGAGGCTGTAGACCCAGGACTGAGGCTGTAGACCCAGGACTGAGGCTGTAGACCCAAGACTGAGGCTGTAGACCCAAGACTGAGACTGTAGACCCAGGACTGAGGCTGTAGACCCAGGACTGAGGCTGCAGACCCAGGACTGAGACTGCAGACCCAGGACTGAGGCTGCAGACCCAGGACTGAGTCTGTAGACCAAGGACTGAGTCTGCAGACCCAGGACTGAGTCTGTAGACCCAAGACTGAGGCTGCAGACCGAGGACTGAGGCTGTAGACCCAGGACTGAGTCTGTAGACCCAGGACTGAGGCTGTAGACCCAGGACTGAGGCTGTAGATCCAGGACTGAGGCTGTAGACCCAGGACTGAGGCTGTAGATCCAGGACCGAGGCTGTAGACCCAGGACGGAGGCTGTAGACCCAGGACTGAGGCTGTAGACCCAGGACTGAGGCTGTAGACCCAGGACTGAGGCTGTAGACCCAGGACTGAGGCTGTAGACCGAGACTGAGGCTGTAGATCCAGGACAGAGGCTGTAGACCCAGGACTGAGACTGTAGACCCAGGACTGAGGCTGCAGACCAAGGACCGAGGTTGTAGACCCAGGACTGAGTCTGCAGACCCAGGACTGAGGCTGCAGACCCAGGACTGAGGCTGTAGACCCAGGACTGAGTCTGTAGACCAAGGACTGAGGCTGCAGACCCAGGACTGAGTCTGTAGACCCAAGACTGAGGCTGCAGACCAAGGACTGAGGCTGTAGACCGAGGACTGAGGCTGTAGACCAAGGACTGAGGCTGTAGACTGAGGACTGAGGCTGTAGACCGAGGACTGAGGCTGTAGATCCAGGACAGAGGCTGTAGACCCAGGACTGAGACTGTAGACCCAGGACTGAGGCTGCCGACCCAGGACTGAGTCTGTAGACCCAGGACTGAGGCTGCAGACCCAGGACTGAGGCTGCAGACCCAGGACTGAGGCTGCAGACCAAGGACCGAGGTTGTAGACCCAGGACTGAGTCTGTAGACCAAGGACTGAGGCTGCAGACCCAGGACTGAGGCTGCAGACCCAGGACTGAGGCTGTAGACCCAGGACTGAGTCTGTAGACCAAGGACTGAGGCTGCAGACCCAGGACTGAGTCTGTAGACCCAAGACTGAGGCTGCAGACCAAGGACTGAGGCTGCAGACCAAGGACTGAGGCTGTAGACCGAGGACTGAGGCTGTAGACCGAGGACCGAGGCTGTAGACCCAGGACCGAGACTGTAGACCAAGGACTGAGGCTGTAGACCCAGGACTGAGGCTGTAGACCGAGGACTGAGGCTGTAGACCGAGGACTGAGGCTGTAGACCCAAGACTGAGGCTGTAGACCCAGGACAGAGGCTGTAGACCAAGGACTGAGGCTGTAGACCGAGGACTGAGGCTGTAGATCCAGGACAGAGGCTGTAGACCCAGGACTGAGACTGTAGACCCAGGACTGAGGCTGCAGACCCAGGACTGAGTCTGTAGACCAAGGACTGAGGCTGCAGACCCAGGACTGAGGCTGCAGACCCAGGACTGAGGCTGCAGACCCAGGACTGAGGCTGCAGACCCAGGACTGAGGCTGCAGACCCAGGACTGAGGCTGTAGACCCAGGACTGAGTCTGTAGACCAAGGACTGAGGCTGCAGACCCAGGACTGAGGCTGCAGACCCAGGACTGAGGCTGTAGACCCAGGACTGAGTCTGTAGACCAAGGACTGAGGCTGCAGACCCAGGACTGAGTCTGTAGACCCAAGACTGAGGCTGCAGACCAAGGACTGAGGCTGTAGACCGAGGACTGAGGCTGTAGATCCAGGACCGAGGCTGTAGACCCAGGACCGAGACTGTAGATCCAGGACTGAGGCTGTAGACCCAGGACTGAGTCTGTAGACCAAGGACTGAGGCTGCAGACCCAGGACTGAGTCTGTAGACCAAGGACTGAGGCTGCAGACCCAGGACTGAGGCTGCAGACCCAGGACTGAGGCTGCAGACCCAGGACTGAGGCTGCAGACCCAGGACTGAGGCTGTAGACCCAGGACTGAGTCTGTAGACCAAGGACTGAGGCTGCAGACCCAGGACTGAGGCTGCAGACCCAGGACTGAGGCTGTAGACCCAGGACTGAGTCTGTAGACCAAGGACTGAGGCTGCAGACCCAGGACTGAGTCTGTAGACCCAAGACTGAGGCTGCAGACCGAGGACTGAGGCTGCAGACCGAGGACTGAGGCTGTAGATCCAGGACCGAGGCTGTAGACCCAGGACCGAGACTGTAGATCCAGGACCGAGACTGTAGATCCAGGACCGAGGCTGTAGACCGAGGACTGAGGCTGTAGATCCAGGACCGAGGCTGTAGACCCAGGACCGAGGTTGTAGACCCAGGACCGAGGCTGTAGACCCAGGACTGAGTCTGTAGACCCAGGACTGAGTCTGTAGACCCAGGACTGAGGCTGTAGACCCAGGACTGAGGCTGTAGACCGAGGACTGAGGCTGTAGACCGAGGACTGAGGCTGTAGACCCAGGACTGAGGCTGTAGACCCAGGACTGAGGCTGTAGACCCAGGACTGAGGCTGTAGACCCAGGACTGAGGCTGTAGACCCAGGACTGAGGCTGTAGACCAAGGACTGAGGCTGTAGACCCAGGACTGAGGCTGTAGACCGAGGACTGAGGCTGTAGACCGAGGACTGAGGCTGTAGATCCAGGACCGAGGCTGTAGACCCAGGACGGAGGCTGTAGACCAAGGACTGAGGCTATAGACCCAAGACTGAGGCTGTAGACCGAGGACTGAGGCTGTAGACCCAGGACCGAGGTTGTAGACCCAGGACTGAGTCTGTAGACCCAGGACTGAGTCTGCAGACCGAGGACTGAGGCTGTAGACCGAGGACTGAGACTGTAGACCCAGGACTGAGGCTGCAGACCCAGGACTGAGTCTGTAGACCAAGGACTGAGTCTGCAGACCCAGGACTGAGGCTGTAGACCCAGGACTGAGGCTGTAGACCCAGGACTGAGGCTGTAGACCAAGGACTGAGGCTGTAGATCCAGGACCGAGACTTTAGATCCAGGACCGAGGTTGTAGACCCAGGACTGAGGCTGTAGACCCAGGACTGATGATACAGATAATATTACTGTAGCAAATGCACATCTAATTTTCTTTTAAGGTGCACCAGAACGTCCACACAGGAGAGAGACCCTTCCAGTGCTCCGTCTGCCACACGCCCTTCTCTCACCCCAGTAACCTGCTGCGGCACCTGAAGAGGAAGCACCAGGTCCACAAAACATCCACCGCCAATGCACTTTGATGATCGGTTATTTCTCGGGACGATTGTGGCCTTTTTCTCTGACAGACTTTGGGAGCGGTGTTGGAGGTGGTGGGAAAGAACTGATTCTGTTTCTGTTTGAAAATGTTGATCTAAAAATGTGACGGAGGAGAAATATACATGATGTGAAAGCTAGTGATAGGCTGTAGGGCCAGGACTGAGGCTGTAGGGCCAGGACTGAGGCTGTAGGCCCAGGACTGAGGCTGTAGGGCCAGGACTGAGGCTGTAGGCCCAGGACTGAGGCTGTAGGCCCAGGACTGAGGCTGTAGGTCCAGGACTGAGGCTGTAGACCCGGGACTGAGGCTGTAGACCCAGGACTGAGGCTGTAGGTCTAGGACTGAGGCTGTAGGTCCAGGACTGAGGCTGTAGACCCGGGACTGAGGCTGTAGGTCCAGGACTGAGGCTGTAGACCCGGGACTGAGGCTGTAGACCCGGGACTGAGGCTGTAGACCCAGGACTGAGGCTGTAGGTCCAGGACTGAGGCTGTAGACCCGGGACTGAGGCTGTAGACCCAGGACTGAGGCTGTAGACCCGGGACTGAGGCTGTAGACCCGGGACTGAGGCTGTAGGTCCAGGACTGAGGCTGTAGACCCAGGACTGAGGCTGTGGGTCCAGGACTGAGGCTGTAGACCCAGGACTGAGGCTGTAGACCCAGGACTGAGGCTGTAGGTCCAGGACTGAGGCTGTAGACCCAGGACTGAGGCTGTGGGTCCAGGACTGAGGCTGTAGACCAAGGACTGAGGCTGTAGACCCAGGACTGAGGCTGTAGACCCGGGACTGAGGCTGTAGACCCGGGACTGAGGCTGTAGACCCAGGACTGAGGCTGTAGGTCCAGGACTGAGGCTGTAGACCCGGGACTGAGGCTGTAGACCCGGGACTGAGGCTGTAGGTCCAGGACTGAGGCTGTAGACCCAGGACTGAGGCTGTAGACCCAGGACTGAGGCTGTGGGTCCAGGACTGAGGCTGTAGACCCAGGACTGAGGCTGTAGACCCAGGACTGAGGTTGTAGGTCCAGGACTGAGGCTGTAGACCCAGGACTGAGGCTGTAGATCCAGGACTGAGGCTGTCGATCCAGGACTGAGGCTGTGGGTCCAGGACTGAGGCTGTAGGTCCAGGACTGAGGCTGTAGATCCAGGACTGAGGCTGTCGATCCAGGACTGAGGCTGTAGACCCAGGACTGAGGCTGTAGATCCAGGACTGAGGCTGTAGATCCAGGACTGAGGCTGTGGGTCCAGGACTGAGGCTGTAGGTCCAGGACTGAGGCTGTAGATCCAGGACTGAGGCTGTCGATCCAGGACTGAGGCTGTAGACCCAGGACTGAGGCTGTAGACCCAGGACTGAGGCTGTAGATCCAGGACTGAGGCTGTAGGTCCAGGACTGAGGCTGTAGACCCAGGACTGAGGCTGTAGACCCAGGACTGAGGCTGTAGATCCAGGACTGAGGCTGTCGATCCAGGACTGAGGCTGTAGACCCAGGACTGAGGCTGTAGATCCAGGACTGAGGCTGTAGATCCAGGACTGAGGCTGTGGGTCCAGGACTGAGGCTGTCGATCCAGGACTGAGGCTGTAGGTCCAGGACTGAGGCTGTAGACCCAGGACTAATATTGTAAAGTGTTTTGAGTGTTGAAAAGTTAAATAATGGTACATGTTTATATGTTTAAATTATAATTTGATCTATAACTCTAATGATTCTGTAGTAAATGTAATTTCATCTTCTCAGTTTTGAACCAGACTGTGGCGGTTTCCTGATCAATCTTTTCTTAGCAAATAAACTCATCCTCCTGTTGTAGTTTCTTTGTTCATTTATACGTTTTCTGAGCAGAAACGACATCACATGGTTCCAAACAGTCTGTAGCTTCACAGTGTGGTGGAGGGAAGCTGTACAATCCTTCGAAAGCCAGTCACGTGCTCCAGCGGTAACGGCCTGTCCTCCAGCCAGCAGAGGGCGCTGTGTTCTCTTCCTGCTCCTTCTTCCGGGGCTGAAATCGTAAACAAAGCGGCTCGGTGGAGTAGTGCTCTATCCAAAGCTCCAGTCCTCTCTGCCCCTCTCTCCCCGGACAGAGCGTCATCATGGCCGCAGAGCTTCACGCACAGATCGCGTCTATCGTGGAGGTTCTGGCGAACGCCGCGGTGTCTGAGATCTGTAAAGCCGTGGAGGACGGCTACACCGCGGTCAACCTGGAGATGTCCCGTAGTGTCCGGGAGAACGAGTGTCTGCGGAGGAGGGTCCGGCTGCTGGAGCTCCAGGTGTCACGGTACCGAGCAGAGCAGCGGCTGAAGGCGACAGAGGCTCCGGGAACAGGGCGCCTCCTCCCCGGGGGAAGGGCTCTGCAGGCCCGGCTGAATTCCAGGGAGACCCCCACCGGTAACTGCTGTTTGATGATGATAATGATAATAATAATAATACATTGAGTTTATATAGAGCTTTTTATGACTCTCAAAGTCTCATCACATGTCATTATTCATGCTCTCCATACTCCATACTGTAGCCACAGCTGCCCTGGGGCACACTGACAGAAACAAAGCAACCAGTCTGTGCTATCGGTCCCTCCCACCACCACCAACCATTCACACACACCAGACTCATTCTAATGTGGGGGAAGTGTCTTGCCTCAGGACACAGCCACAGTTTGATACATTTTCAGCCTTAGCCGCCCCACTGTGGCACCTGGTGTTCCCAGAGGTTTCCCATCACAGTATTAACCAGGCCTTGCCCTGCTTAGCTTTAGAGGTTTGACGGAATCTGGTTTGAACATAGAGCTGGCAACCACTATATATGCACCAGAGAGAGAAACCAGAGAAAGAGAGACCAGAGGGCGACCCGAGAGAGCGTGACCAGAGAGAGAGCGTGACCAGAGAGAGAGCGTGACCGGAGAGAGAGCGTGACCAGAGAGAGAGCGAGACCAGAGAGAGAGCGTGACCGGAGAGAGAGCGAGACCAGAGAGAGAGCGTGACCAGAGAGAGAGAGCGTGACCAGAGAGAGAGCGAGACCAGAGAGAGCGAGACCAGAGAGAACGTGACCAGAGAGAGAGAGAGCGTGACCAGAGAGAGAGAGCGTGACCAGAGAGAGAGAGCGTGACCAGAGAGAGAGAGCGTGACCAGAGAGAGAGAGCGTGACCAGAGAGAGAGAGCGTGACCAGAGAGAGAGAGCGTGACCAGAGAGAGAGAGCGTGACCAGAGAGAGAGAGCGTGACCAGAGAGAGAGAGCGTGACCAGAGAGAGAGAGCGTGACCAGAGAGAGAGAGCGTGACCAGAGAGAGAGAGCGTGACCAGAGAGAGAGCGTGACCAGAGAGAGAGCGTGACCAGAGAGAGAGCGTGACCAGAGAGAGAGCGTGACCAGAGAGAGAGCGTGACCAGAGAGAGAGAGCGTGACCAGAGAGAGAGTGTGACCAGAGAGAGAGAGCGTGACCAGAGAGAGAGCGTGACCAGAGAGAGAGAGCGTGACCAGAGAGAGAGCGTGACCAGAGAGAGAGCGTGACCAGAGAGAGAGCGTGACCAGAGAGAGAGCGTGACCAGAGAGAGAGCGTGACCAGAGAGAGAGCGTGACCAGAGAGAGAGCGTGACCAGAGAGAGAGCGTGACCAGAGAGAGAGCGTGACCAGAGAGAGAGCGTGACCAGAGAGAGAGCGTGACCAGAGAGAGAGCGTGACCAGAGAGAGAGAGCGTGACCAGAGAGAGAGAGCGTGACCAGAGAGAGAGCGTGACCAGAGAGAGGGAGCGTGACCAGAGAGAGGGAGCGTGACCAGAGAGAGAGTGTGACCAGAGAGAGAGAGCGTGACCAGAGAGAGAGCGTGACCAGAGAGAGAGAGCGTGACCAGAGAGAGAGAGCGTGACCAGAGAGAGAGCGTGACCAGAGAGAGCGTGACCAGAGAGAGTGTGTGACCAGAGAGAGAGCGTGACCAGAGAGAGAGAGCGTGACCAGAGAGAGAGAGCGTGACCAGAGAGAGAGCGTGACCAGAGAGAGCGTGACCAGAGAGAGAGCGTGACCAGAGAGAGAGCGTGACCAGAGAGAGAGCGTGACCAGAGAGAGAGCGTGACCAGAGAGAGAGCGTGACCAGAGAGAGAGCGTGACCAGAGAGAGAGCGTGACCAGAGAGAGAGAGCGTGACCAGAGAGAGAGCGTGACCAGAGAGAGAGAGCGTGACCAGAGAGAGAGCGTGACCAGAGAGGGAGCGTGACCAGAGAGAGAGCGTGACCAGAGAGAGAGCGTGACCAGAGAGAGAGAGCGTGACCAGAGAGAGAGCGTGACCAGAGAGAGAGCGTGACCAGAGAGAGAGCGTGACCAGAGAGAGAACGAGACCAGAGAGAGAGAGCGTGACCAGAGAGAGAGCGAGACCAGAGAGAGAGAGTGTGACCAGAGAGAGAGCGTGACCAGAGAGAGAGAGCGTGACCAGAGAGAGAGAGCGTGACCAGAGAGAGAGAGCGTGACCAGAGAGAGTGCGTGACCAGAGAGAGAGCGTGACCAGAGAGAGAGAGCGTGACCAGAGAGAGAGAGCGTGACCAGAGAGAGAGAGCGTGACCAGAGAGAGAGCGTGACCAGAGAGAGAGCGTGACCAGAGAGAGAGAGCGAGACCAGAGAGAGAGCGAGACCAGAGAGAGTGCGTGACCAGAGAGAGAACGAGACCAGAGAGAGAGAGCGTGACCAGAGAGAGTGCGTGACCAGAGAGAGAGAGCGTGACCAGAGAGCGAGACCAGAGAGAGAGAGCGTGACCAGAGAGAGAGAGCGTGACCAGAGAGAGAGAGCGTGACCAGAGAGAGAGCGAGACCAGAGAGAGAGAGCGTGACCAGAGAGAGAGAGCGTGACCAGAGAGAGAGAGCGTGACCAGAGAGAGAGAGCGTGACCAGAGAGAGAGAGAGCGTGACCAGAGAGAGAGCGTGACCAGAGAGAGAGAGCGTGACCAGAGAGCGAGACCAGAGAGAGAGAGCGTGACCAGAGAGAGAGAGCGTGACCAGAGAGAGAGAGCGTGACCAGAGAGAGAGCGAGACCAGAGAGAGAGAGCGTGACCAGAGAGAGAGAGCGTGACCAGAGAGAGAGAGCGTGACCAGAGAGAGAGAGCGTGACCAGAGAGAGAGAGCGTGACCAGAGAGAGAGAGCGTGACCAGAGAGAGAGAGCGTGACCAGAGAGAGAGAGCGTGACCAGAGAGAGAGAGCGTGACCAGAGAGAGAGAGCGTGACCAGAGAGAGAGAGCGTGACCAGAGAGAGTGCGTGACCAGAGAGAGTGCGTGACCAGAGAGAGCGTGACCAGAGAGAGAGTGCGTGACCAGAGAGAGAGCGAGACCAGAGAGAGAGAGCGTGACCAGAGAGAGAGCGTGACCAGAGAGAGAGAGCGTGACCAGAGAGAGAGAGCGTGACCAGAGAGAGAGCGTGACCAGAGAGAGAGCGAAGACCAGAGAGAGAACGTGACCAGAGAGAGAGCGTGACCAGAGAGAGAGAGCGTGACCAGAGAGGGAGCGTGACCAGAGAGAGAGAGCGTGACCAGAGAGAGAGAGCGTGACCAGAGAGAGAGCGTGACCAGAGAGAGAGCGAGACCAGAGAGAGAGAGCGTGACCAGAGAGAGAGAGCGTGACCAGAGAGGGAGCGTGACCAGAGAGAGAGAGACCCTTTGTATTAAACAAATGTTAATCCAAATGTGTGTGTGTGTAACTCTTGCTAAATGCAGATTTCTTGTGCTTCTCTCCAGGCTCCAGTCTTCAGATCCGGTCCAAGTTTTTAAACCGACCTCGACAGAAGTGTACGGTGGATCAGAACCAGGAAGTGGATCAGAACCAGGAAGTGGATCAGAACCAGGAAGTGGATCAGAACCAGGAAGTGAATCAGAACCAGGAAGTGGTCACCGCGGCGAAGACAGAGGTACGCACGCTATCCGCCCAATAGCATTAATACTGGGACCATTATGACACTACGAGAGCTTTGAAGAGATCCTTTAATGGTCTCACAGGGGGGAAATTTCAGTGTTGCAATCACCAGTTACAGATCAGTGGGAGTGAGGAGCACACAGCACAACAAACATTAACTCTATAGAGAAGTAAAACTCTTCTAAAACGAAACTCAAATAGAGACTCTCAGGGCTCATACATTTTAGACTCTTTCTGTGTTGTATATGAGGGAGAATGTACATACCCCAGCTTTAATAATAATACTAATAATGATAATACTTTGTACTTACTATGTTACTAGTGTACGTATTTTTGTGACACTCAATGATGCTTCACAAAGGACAGGGTAATGAGAAACTAAAATAAAGGTGGGTTTGAGTTGGTTGAGTTCCTGATTGGTGGAAAGAGTTTGAGTTGTTTGAGGACGGGGGTGATGTGGAGAGGAGACCATAGAGGAAGAAGTTGTATTAGTTGAGTTAGGTGAGGTCTCTCTCTCTGCTCTCTGGTCTCTCTCTGGTCTCTCTCTGGTCTCTCTCTCTGCTCTCTGGTCTCTCTCTGGTCTCTCTCTGGTCTCTCTCTGGTCTCTCTCTGGTCTCTTTCTGTTCTCTCTCTGCTCTCTCTCTGGTCTCTCTCTGGTCTCTTTCTGGTCTCTCTCTCTGGTCTCTCTCTGCTCTCTCTCTGCTCTCTCTGGTTTCTCTTCTCTCTCTCTCCTCTCTCTCTGCTCTCTCTGCTTTCTCTTCTCTCTCTCTGCTCTCTCCTCTCTCTCTGCTCTCTCTCTGGTCTCTCTCTCTGCTCTCTCTCTGGTCTCTCTCTCTGCTCTCTCCTCTCTCTGGTTTCTCTTCTCTCTCTCTGCTCTCTCTCTGGTCTCTCTCTCCTCTCTCTCTGCTCTCTCTGGTCTCTCTCTCTCTGTTCTCTCTGCTCTGGTCTCTCTCTGGTCTCTCTCTCTGCTCTCTCCTCTCTCTCTGCTCTCTCTGGTTTCTCTTCTCTCTGCTCTCTCTCTGGTCTCTCTCTCTGCTCTCTCTCTGCTCTCTCTCTGACTCGTCAATGGGAGGTGTATTGCAGGGATGGACAAAAGTAAATGACTAAAGAAACTGTTTTAGTCTAGACTCTTTTTCTGTATTTACTATTTGTTACTTATTACTGTTATTATTATTATTGACGTTTTACAATGACGCTCTCTCTCTTCAGCCTCCAGAGCCCGAGGAAGACGGCGACATCATCATTGTCAAAGTCGAGAGCAGCGACTCTCTCGGCAAAAGCGCCACCTCAGCGTCTTCGGACCAAACTTACGCAACCCAGGCCCAGTCCGGCAGCCAATCAGAGGTCAGTGGATCACAAAACCTCACCAAGGAACCACACCCACCTCCACCACCTCCACCACCTCCTCCTGCTTCTTACACCTCCTCCAAAGACTCTCTCTCTCTGTTTTGCGACGTCTCTCCGTTCGACAGCAGCGACATGGACCTAGCGAACCAGGAAATGCCCTACTCCCAGTCACATCTAGGCTCCTCCCACTTCAGTTTCCAAGGCCAAAACTGTTTCCCCGGGTCTTCACACCAACAAACCTCGGAGCGAAGTCCACCGTTGGCGTGTCAGTCCAGGAGGAGCTTCACCTGCGGCATCTGTGGGAAGGGGTTTCCCGGGAGACGCAAACTGGAGATCCACCACAACGTGCACACGGGGGAGAGACCCTTCAGGTGTTCGGTGTGCGACAGCTGGTTTTCACACCCGAGCAACCTGCGCCGGCACATGAAGAAGAAGCATCTGGGACCGAAGCAGACGTGAACGCCAAGAGGGAATTTCTAAGTAGACCGTTTAACCAAAATGGACTTTTTACAGAGGTTGGCATTTGTTATTCTACATAAAGCTCTTTTTAAGAGTGAGATGGTCTCTTTCTGGTCTCCCTCTGGTCTCTCTCTGGTCTCCCTCTGGTCTCTCTCTGGTCTCTCTCTGGTCTCTCTCTGGTCTCTCTCTGGTTTCTCTCTGGTCTCCCTCTGGTCTTCCTCTGGTCTCCCTCTGGTCTCCCTCTGGTCTCTCTCTGGTCTCTCTCTGGTCTCTCTCTGGTCTCTCTCTGGTCTCTCTCTGGTCTCTCTCTCTTCAGCAGTGGTGAGTTCAGGTACCTTTTAGAGCCTTAAACATAAAGCTACTTCACAGATTATTATCAGTATTATTCTGAATTAGGGCTGTCAAAATGAGCGCATTAACGCATGTTAATTACATGTTTCATAAATTGTGTTATAAGAATAAATAACGCATTGACGCATGTCAGAATGACCCGCCCATGCATCCCATAATATCACTCAGAGCCGCGGACACATGCGTGGCGGCTAACAACACGGTGATTGGCGCCGCGGTAACGTGGTGATAAGACCAGACACGCACAGGACTATTCTCTGTATGATGTGTGCGTGTCTGTGCGTAACCTGTGCACGCAAACACACCTCTGAAGCTGAACTATGGAGCCTCAGGAAGTGTGTGTTTCTCCTCTTGAAACACAACTAAACTCACTAAATTAAAGCTAGGGTACGTACATTTTCCCATTCATTAACAGCTCATGTTAATGAACTCAAGATTTAAGTACATTTGGTTTGAATGACAATATGTCATTATATTTGATAATCTCATTTAACTTCCATTCGAGTGGATTTTAAATAGAATGTTAAAAATGGGATTAATCGTGAGTTAACTCACATTACTGTGCGATTAATCAACTACAAAATGTTAATCGTTTGACAGCCCTATTTTGAACATAACCCAGCAATAAATGTGGGACCACTGCACTTATATCCTCATATACCTGCCCCGCCATGGCTCTCCCCTCAGTCCTCTGACCACCACACCTCCCCCTCCCCTGGGTTTTTCCTTTCTGAGTGTAATGTATAAGGCCCGGTTTAGATGTAGACGCTGCGAAGCAATTAGCAAAAATGCCCTGCTCCGTATGTGTAGTTCTATCTTGCGGCCAGTAGGGGGCAGTGTAACCCAGTAGTAGAACAACCTCCTCCTCAGGCCAAAAACGGGAAAGAACCAACATCATTCTTTAACAGCAGCAGTGAAAATGGAAAGTGAAACTACTGTTGTACAAATTCTAAGGATTGAAATACACAATAATTAAATATAAGATAAACAACCAAGAGCTTTAATACAATCAAAGTGTAGTTTATTGTTTCAGTAAATCTATACATATACAAGAAATACAACCGTAACCGCATGGCAGGTCCCGGTAGATCTGCTGACTAATGCTCACTCTCTCCCGTAGTTATAGGATGGAACAAACAAAAGAGTTTATCTATGGCGTCTCTGAGTCCAAGATTAGGTGGTCACTATCGCCCAAACCCCCCTCTCTCCTGACGTCTTACCCTGATACTACTCTGATATTACGAAGAGAAATCAGTCTGACCAGGGCACCGTGCTCCTCGGACCAGAGACCAAGCTGGCATCTGTCCCTCTCCCGTCCCTGGCCTCGCACTTCTACAAAAACAATAGATTGTTAGATTGACCTTTGTCCCAGATATCCTAGTTACTCATTAGATTCATTCTTAAGTTAAATTGATTTATAATCCCTGTTAGATTTCTACAACACTACAGACACCAGAGAGAGAGACCAGAGAGAGAGACCAGAGAGAGAGACCAGAGAGAGAGACCAGAGAGAGAGACCAGAGAGAGAGACCAGAGAGAGAGACCAGAGAGAGAGACCAGAGAGAGAGACCAGAGAGAGAGACCAGAGAGAGAGACCAGAGAGCGAGACCAGAGAGAGGGACCAGAGAGAGAGACCAGAGAGAGAGACCAGAGAGAGAGAGACCAGAGAGAGAGACCAGAGAGAGACCAGAGAGAGAGACCAGAGAGAGAGACCAGAGAGAGAGACCAGAGAGAGAGACCAGAGAGAGAGACCAGAGAGAGACCAGAGAGAGAGACCAGAGAGAGAGACCAGAGAGAGAGACCAGAGAGAGAGAGACCAGAGAGAGAGACCAGAGAGAGACCAGAGAGAGAGACCAGAGAGAGAGACCAGAGAGAGAGACCAGAGAGAGAGACCAGAGAGAGAGACCAGAGAGAGAGACCAGAGAGAGAGACCAGAGAGAGGGACCAGAGAGAGGGACCAGAGAGAGAGACCAGAGAGAGAGACCAGAGAGAGAGACCAGAGAGAGAGACCAGAGAGAGACCAGAGAGAGACCAGAGAGAGACCAGAGAGAGAGACCAGAGAGAGACCAGAGAGAGAGACCAGAGAGAGAGACCAGAGAGAGAGACCAGAGAGAGAGAGACCAGAGAGAGAGACCAGAGAGAGACCAGAGAGAGAGACCAGAGAGAGAGACCAGAGAGAGAGACCAGAGAGAGAGACCAGAGAGAGAGACCAGAGAGAGAGACCAGAGAGAGGGACCAGAGAGAGGGACCAGAGAGAGAGACCAGAGAGAGAGACCAGAGAGAGAGACCAGAGAGAGAGACCAGAGAGAGACCAGAGAGAGACCAGAGAGAGACCAGAGAGAGAGACCAGAGAGAGACCAGAGAGAGAGACCAGAGAGAGAGACCAGAGAGAGAGACCAGAGAGAGAGACCAGAGAGAGAGACCAGAGAGAGAGACCAGAGAGAGAGACCAGAGAGAGAGACCAGAGAGAGACCAGAGAGAGACCAGAGAGAGACCAGAGAGAGACCAGAGAGAGACCAGAGAGAGACCAGAGAGAGACCAGAGAGAGAGAGACCAGAGAGAGACCAGAGAGAGACCAGAGAGAGACCAGAGGGAGACCAGAGGGAGACCAGAGGGAGACCAGAGAGAGACCAGAGGGAGACCAGAGGGAGACCAGAGGGAGACCAGAGGGAGACCAGAGGGAGACCAGAGGGAGACCAGAGGGAGACCAGAGGGAGAGGTTTGGTTTTGACGAAGGAGTAGAATCCTCCTCTGTTAGCGAAGAACACGTTCTACTTTGTCCAAATGTTCTGTTCCACTCTGGAGGCTGTTTCTCGATGCTAGTGTTCTCACCTGAAACACCGTCTCCATGGAAACAAAAGGACACAATATAAACTCTAAACCTTTTACTGTTGCAGCGACTCTGTGTAAACGGGGCCTAAAGAGGCGACGGTGGGGACACAGGGGGCGGGGCTTAGAGACTGAAGGAGGAGCCACACTCGTTAAAAAAATAAAAACTTTGATTCCTTTGTATCAAAACCATTTTTTTTATTTGTGTTTAATTTGATCAATAAATGTTCATGGTCTGATGCAGTGTGTGCAGTGGTCTCTCTCATTGGTCTCTCTCATTGGTCACTCTCTGGTCTCTCTCATCGGTCACTCTCTGGTCTCTCTCATCGGTCACTCTCTGGTCTCACTTTCTGGTCTCTCATTGGTCACTCTTGGGTCTCTCTTTCTCTGGTTCCTCTTTAGTTGCTCTATAGTCTCACTCTGGTCTCTCTCTCTCTCTCTCTGGTCTCTTTCTTTTGTCTCTCTCTGGTCTCTCTCAATGGTCACTCTCTGGTCTCACTTTCTGGTCTCTCTCATTGGTCACTCTCTGGTTTCTCTCTTGTCTCTCTCTCCCTCTGGTCTCTCTGATTGGTCACTCTCTGGTCTCTTTCTGGACTTTTATGGTGAAGGGGGAGCAGCGTCTGCAGTCAAAGCTCTGGAGTGTGTATTCTTTGTGTACATTCTTACTCTCATCTATGGTCATAAACTTTGGGAAATTACTCACGGAACACAAAAGACAAGCTGGAGGGACCATAGGGACAAGCTGGAGGGATCATAGGGACAAGCTGGAGGGACCATAGGGACAAGCTGGAGGGACCATAGGGACAAGCTGGAGGGACCATAGGGACAAGCTGGAAGGACCATAGGGACAAGCTGGAGGGATCATAGGGACAAGCTGGAGGGATCATAGGGACAAGCTGGAGGGACCATAGGGACAAGCTGGAGGGACCATAGGGACAAGCTGGAGGGACCATAGGGACAAGCTGGAGGGATCATAGGGACAAGCTGGAGGGACCATAGGGACAAGCTGGAGGGATCATAGGGACAAGCTGGAGGGACCATAGGGACAAGCTGGAGGGACCATAGGGACAAGCTGGAGGGACCATAGGGACAAGCTGGAGGGATCATAGGGACAAGCTGGAGGGATCATAGGGACAATCTGGAGGGATCATAGGGACAAGCTGGAGGGACCATAGGGACAAGCTGGAGGGACCATAGGGACACACCAGGCATAAACCTCACTGAGCAACACAGGCTGGTGTGTGTAAACTGCTCCCCTTTAACCCGCCGTGTGACCGAGTCTTTTGTCCGCGGTGCGTTCAAATACAGCGGTACTTAAGGAAAAGTCACAGAAGAGACGATACTTTGCATAATGACAGCGTAACGAGCCGTGGAGCTGTGTTTTGGTGCATGCGGCTTCAGTTAGTCACAGATATTTAGCATTTGTATTAGCTAGCTAGGTTGTCACTACTCTCTCTGGTCTCACTCTGGTCTCTTTGTGATCTCTCTCTCTCTGGTCTCTCTATTGTTTCTCTCTGGTCTCTCTCTGGCCTCTCTCTGGTCTCTCTCTTTCTCTCTCTGTGGTTTCTCTCTCTAGTCTCACTCTGGTCTTTCTCTCTCAGGTCTCTTCCTTTCTTTCTTTCTTTCTCTCTCTCTCTGGCCTCTCATGGTCTCTCTCTGGTCTCTCTCGGGTCTCTCTCTGGCCTCTCATGGTCTCTCTCTGGTCTCTCTCTGGTCTCTCTCTTCTCTCTGGTCTCTCTCTGGTCTCTCTCTGGTCTCTCTCTGGTCTCTCTCTGGTCTCTCTCTGGTCTCTCTCTGGTCTCTCTCCGGTCTCTCTCTGGTCTCTCTCTGGTCTCTCTCTGGTCTCTCTCTTCTCTCTCTGGTCTCTCTCTGGTCTCTCTCTGGTGTCTCTCTGGTGTCTCTCTGGTGTCTCTCTGGTCTCTGTCTGGTCTCTCTCTGGTCTCTCTCTGGTCTCTCTGGTCTCTCTCTCTGGTCTCTCTCTGGTCTCTCTCTCTGGTCTCTCTCTGGTCTCTCTCTGGTCTCTCTCTGGTCTCTCTCTGGTCTCTCTCCGGCCTCTCTCTGGCCTCTCTCTGGTCTCTCTCTGGTCTCTCTCTCTGGTCTCTCTCTTCTCTCTCTGGTGTCTCTCTGGTGTCTCTCTGGTCTCTCTCTGGTCTCTCTCCGGCCTCTCTCTGGCCTCTCTCTGGTCTCTCTCTGGTCTCTCTCTGGTCTCTCTCTGGTCTCTCTCTGGTCTCTCTCAGGTCTCTCTCTGGTCTCTCTCTGGTCTCTCTCTGGTGTCTCTCCGGCCTCTCTCTGGTCTCTCTCTCTCTTTATTATTTTGTAGTTGTTGAAATGCAGTGTATTTGCAGGGCCAGGACTGTCTGGAAAACACCAGTTGGGAGTCGACAGAGCAGCTGGTCAAATACGCAGGTAATGAATGTTCTGGACTAGTCCTTCCTCGACTGTACACGGATGGACAAAGCTAACCTGCTAACTCAATGAAGCCCAGGAGGGGGTCTCTCTCTGGTCTCTCTCTGGTCTCTCTCTGGGTTCTCCCTGTTCTCTTTCTCTCTAGACTCAAAATGTCCTCCCACTTTGTTTTCTCTCTGCTTTCTCTCTCTGGTCTTTCTCCCGTTTCTCCCAGTGCTCTCTCTCTCTCTCCCTCTCTGGTCTCTCTCCCTGCTCTCTCTCGCTCTCTTTCCCTCTCTGGTCTTTCTCTGGTCTCTCCCCCTGGTCTCTCGCTCTCTCCCTATCTCTCTGGTCTCTCTCTCTCTCCGTCTCTCTCTCGCTGGTCTCTCTCTCTCTCCGTCTCTCTCTCTCCCCCAGTATTTCTCTCTCTCTGGTCTCTCTCTCTCCCCCAGTATTTCTCTCTCTCTGGTCTCTCTCTCTCTCCGTCTCTCTCTCTCTCTGGTCTCTCTCTCTCTCCCCCAGTATTTCTCTCTCTCTGGTCTCTGGTCTCTGGTCTCTCTGGTCTCTCTCTCTCTCCGTCTCTCTCTCTCTGGTCTCTCTCTCTCTCGGTCTCTCTCTCTTGCCGGTCTCTAAATGTCCTCCCTCGCTCACACATCTGTATAAACGTCTTCTCTCTTCTCTCAGATGATTTCCGGAAGACGTTTTTGGCCCAAGTCGACCCACTTCCTCGTCCCGTTTTTGAACCAAAGTTAAACATTTCTCCAAGGCCAGATTTTCCTGGACCTCCTGCTGCTCCCTCCTCTGACCCAGCCGCCATTTTGGGGAAGTCTTTCTCTGAGAAAAGTCAAATCTCGGTAAGATCCTTTCTCTCTCTCCTCTCCTCACTCTCTCTCCTTTTACTCTCTCTCCTTTTCCTCCCTCTCTCTTTCCTGTTTCTCCCTCTCCTCTCCTCTCCTCTCCTCTCCTCTCCTCGCACCTCCTCCTTTGGGGAAGATGAGAAGGTCTTTCACTGAAAAAAGTAAAATCTTGGTCAGATTATATACAAAAACAACATAAATGATGCTTATTTTAATGGCATTATTTTAAAGGTTTTTTGCTAGTTTTAAGATAATAATACTTTTAAATAATAAAATTAAAAATGATACATAATCTTATAAGAGAAAAAAGTCTGAGCAGTGAGTTTTAAAGCTTGTTTTAAGTATTTTTTTCCTTATTTCCAGACAACTTTTCTTGTTTAGATAAAATAAGTTTCGGCTATCGAGTCATTTGGGGCTAGTATTATTTTCTTATTTTCAGAAATAAGTTTGTGTAAGCCCTCAGTCGTACAGGGATTAGTCAAAGCAAAGGAAGGTTTCTCACCCATCATCTGTACTTCTTAGCAAGTTTTCCCGACGTTTCGTCCTCAACCTGGGGACTTCTTCAGGGAATGAATTCTCGGGCCGCGCGTTGGAGATTTATAACCTATGGGTGTGGTAAGCCACACCCTAATCCTGATACTAACTCGTAAACAATCTCAGGTCTGCTTGATGTAAAAGGGAGCAGGTCTAACGACCCTGCTGAGGCTAACGACCCTAACTCCTTAGCATGTCACAGACCTATTGTCTGCTGGGATGCTCAAGTGGAGTGCAGGTTTCACCCCTCCTAACTCCTTAGCATGTCACAGACCTATTGTCTGCTGGGATGCTCAAGTGGAGTGCAGGTTTCACCCCTCCTAACTCATTAGCATGTCACTGACCTTGTCCCAAGTTAGGGCGTTGTTTTTAGGATGTCGTCATAGATGCGAGGCAAAACAAATCTTAACCCTCCTCCTCTGTTAAGAGAAGGTTTTTGTTTCCTCACAAAAATGGCTTCTTTCACCCCTCTCTCAAACCAATTCTTCTCCCGAGCCAGAATTTTAACCTCTGTGTCATCCACCGTGTGGTTGGAGGCCTTGAGGTGGAGATGAACAGCCGACTGTGGCCCACTAGAGTTTTCTCTACGATGTTGGTAAAGTCGTTTCTGTAGAGTTTGTTTGGTTTCTCCAATATAGTGGTCAGTGCACTCCTCTTCACTACATTTAATTGAATACACCACATTGCTCTGTTTGTGTCTGGGTGTTTTTGTCTTTGGGATGCACTAATTTCTGTCTTAACGTGTTGAAAGGTTTGAAATACACAGGGATTTTGTGTTGCCTAAAGATTCTTTGTAGTTTCTCTGAAACTCCCGCCACATACGGTAAGGACACCCCTCTTCTCCTACTTTCTTCTGTCTGTTGGACTGTGTCTCTGGCCTTTCTCGTCCTTTGGGCTTTAGTAAAAGACCACTTGGGGTAGCCACATCTGGAAAGTGCTCTCTGAACATGTTTGGTTTCTCTGTTCTTTCCCTCCGAGCTAGTGGGGACCTGGTGGGCTCGGTGTTGAAGCGTTCTAATGACCCCGAGTTTGTGTTGTAGCGGATGATTTGAATCAAAGGCCAGGTACTGGTCAGTGTGAGTGGACTTTCTGAAGACCTCAGTCTCTAATTGTCCGTTCTCCAGTATGATGACCTTACAATCTAGAAAGGCGAGTTCACTCTCCTTAGCATCCTCGCGAGTGAAATTTATAAAAGGGTCCACCGAGTTAATGTGTGCTGAAAATGGTTCCACTTCCTGTTTCTTTAACTTAACCCATGTATCGTCTACATATCGAAACCAATGGCTTGGCGCTGTCCCTTGGTAAGAGCCCAGGGCTTGTTCCTCCAGTTTCTCCATATACAGATTGGCCACTATAGGAGAGACTGGGGAGCCCATCGCACAGCCATGATTCTGTCTAAAGAAGGTGCCTCTAAATTGGAAATACGTGGTGTTAAGACACATTTCAAGTATTTCACAGATGTGGTCAGCTGTTAGTTTCGTTCTCTCCCCTAGTGTGGCGTCTTTCTGTAGGCTTTCTCTTACAGCCTCCACCGCCTCTGTAATAGGGACCGACGTAAAAAGCGATGTCACATCAAACGAGACCATTGTCTCATCTGTGTCAAACTGGAGGTGTTTGATTTTATTTACAAATTCTTTTGTGTTTTCTATGTGATGGTGGGTGTTACCCACCAACGGAGCCAGAATGGTTTTGAGGTGTTTAGCCAGGTTGTAGGTGATAGAGTCTATGCTACATACAATAGGCCGAAGTGGAAAGTTTTGTTTGTGTATTTTTGGGAGGCCATAAATACTGGGGATGGTGTCCCCTGGGTAAAGTTTGTAATATAGTGGTTTTTCAATAATGCCCTCTTTCATTCGCCCTCGGAAAAAGATGTTCTTACTAAAGGCCTAAATTTTGCAATAACCCCAAAAGATATTCCTACAATTGAATACATCACAGCAGCAGAAGCAGCCATTAGAAACAACAAACTAACTGAGAGTGAGGCGGGGGCCCTCAGACTGAGAGTCTCTGCAACACTCAAAAGTGCGAAGCCCCCACAATCCAATGTCTCATTAGATGAGCAAAAAGCATTATTGGCATTACAAAAGGATGAGAATATAACTATTTTACCAGCTGACAAAGGCAGATGCACAGTTATCCTCAACACCTCAGACTATGAGGCCAAAGTTAATCAGTTACTCTTGGACACCAACACGTACCAGCCATTGAAGAGGGACCCTACCAGTGGGTTTAGGAAAAAGATTATAGACTTCCTTCAGAACTTAATGAAAGAGGGCATTATTGAAAAACCACTATATTACAAACTTTACCCAGGGGACACCATCCCCAGTATTTATGGCCTCCCAAAAATACACAAACAAAACTTTCCACTTCGGCCTATTGTATGTAGCATAGACTCTATCACCTACAACCTGGCTAAACACCTCAAAACCATTCTGGCTCCGTTGGTGGGTAACACCCACCATCACATAGAAAACACAAAGGAATTTGTGAATAAAATCAAACACCTCCAGTTTGACACAGATGAGACAATGGTCTCGTTTGATGTGACATCGCTTTTTACGTCGGTCCCTATTACAGAGGCGGTGGAGGCTGTAAGAGAAAGCCTACAGAAAGACGCCACACTAGGGGAGAGAACGAAACTAACAGCTGACCACATCTGTGAAATACTTGAAATGTGTCTTAACACCACGTATTTCCAATTTAGAGGCACCTTCTTTAGACAGATTCATGGCTGTGCGATGGGCTCCCCAGTCTCTCCTATAGTGGCCAATCTGTATATGGAGAAACTGGAGGAACAAGCCCTGGGCTCTTACCAAGGGACAGCGCCAAGCCATTGGTTTCGATATGTAGACGATACATGGGTTAAGTTAAAGAAACAGGAAGTGGAACCATTTTCAGCACACATTAACTCGGTGGACCCTTTTATAAATTTCACTCGCGAGGATGCTAAGGAGAGTGAACTCGCCTTTCTAGATTGTAAGGTCATCATACTGGAGAACGGACAATTAGAGACTGAGGTCTTCAGAAAGTCCACTCACACTGACCAGTACCTGGCCTTTGATTCAAATCATCCGCTACAACACAAACTCGGGGTCATTAGAACGCTTCAACACCGAGCCCACCAGGTCCCCACTAGCTCGGAGGGAAAGAACAGAGAAACCAAACATGTTCAGAGAGCACTTTCCAGATGTGGCTACCCCAAGTGGTCTTTTACTAAAGCCCAAAGGACGAGAAAGGCCAGAGACACAGTCCAACAGACAGAAGAAAGTAGGAGGAGAGGGGTGTCCTTACCGTATGTGGCGGGAGTTTCAGAGAAACTACAAAGAATCTTTAGGCAACACAAAATCCCTGTGTATTTCAAACCTTTCAACACGTTAAGACAGAAATTAGTGCATCCCAAAGACAAAACACCCAGACACAAACAGAGCAATGTGGTGTATTCAATTAAATGTAGTGAAGAGGAGTGCACTGACCACTATATTGGAGAAACCAAACAAACTCTACAGAAACGACTTTACCAACATCGTAGAGAAAACTCTAGTGGGCCACAGTCGGCTGTTCATCTCCACCTCAAGGCCTCCAACCACACGGTGGATGACACAGAGGTTAAAATTCTGGCTCGGGAGAAGAATTGGTTTGAAAGAGGGGTGAAAGAAGCCATTTTTGTGAGGAAACAAAAACCTTCTCTTAACAGAGGAGGAGGGTTAAGATTTGTTTTGCCTCGCATCTATGACGACATCCTAAAAACAACGCCCTAACTTGGGACAAGGTCAGTGACATGCTAATGAGTTAGGAGGGGTGAGACCTGCACTCCACTTGAGCATCCCAGCAGACAATAGGTCTGTGACATGCTAAGGAGTTAGGAGGGGTGAAACCTGCACTCCACTTGAGCATCCCAGCAGACAATAGGTCTGTGACATGCTAAGGAGTTAGGGTCGTTAGCCTCAGCAGGGTCGTTAGACCTGCTCCCTTCTACATCAAGCAGACCTGAGATTGTTTATGAGTTAGTATCAGGGTTAGGGTGTGGCTTACCACACCCATAGGTTATAAATCTCCAACGCGCGGTCCGAGAATTCATTCCCTGAAGAAGTCCCCAGGTTGAGGACGAAACGTCGGGAAAACTTGCTAAGAAGTACAGATGATGGGTGAGAAACCTTCCTTTGCTTATTTTCAGAAATCTTAAGTCATATTTTCTCATTCTATTTTCAGATCATTTTTTCTTATTTTAAGCAGTATTTTATATATTTTCATATATATTTTCTTATTATTTTAAAGGGATTTCTTCCAGTGTTGGATTTCAGCTCGATCCCAGACCAGAGTCTTGACTCTTCTCTGGAGCTGATGAACCCGGTGATGTCCACAGCCTCCACAGCTGCAGACTCTCTCCACTGCTGCTTATTCTGCACCTCTACATTTACCCACAAGTCCCAGCTCTTCGCCCACGAACGGGCTAACCACTCTGCCAAACCGTACCAGTGCGACCTGTGCCAGAAGCTCTTCTCCACCTTCTTCAACCTGAAAAAGCACCGGCTGCTGCACACAGGAGAGAAACCCTACGCCTGCACCCGCTGCGACAAGCGCTTCACCACCGGACACAACCTCAAAGTGCATCAGACCGTCCACACCCGAGAGCGGAAGTTCACCTGCCAGGTCTGCGGAAAGGCCTACCCCTTCCACAGCGGCCTCAAGAGGCACTACAGCCTGCACGAGAGAGATCAACCCCTCCCACAGCGGCCTCAAGAGGCACTACAGCCTACACGAGAGAGACTGTGAGAGAGACCCACCCCTTTCTCAGCCACCTCAAGAGGCACTAAGTGGGGGCGGGTCTCGGCTCTAAAGTGGCCAAAATGACGTGCGCTGACATGCCGCAGTACCACCCCGGGCCTGTGGGGGTGGACCCAGAAGTAGAATTAGCCAATGCTAACATATAGCAATAGCAGACCTCTCAAAAACGTCTTTACAGGATGGACCAAAAGTTGTCTCTTGGCCCAAAGCTCCGTTCCACATGTGTGTCAATGCTGAGGGAGTGTTCTGGTCCACTCTAGTTTAGTTGTTGTGAATTTTTGAAGTCTCTCGTTTAAATGCTTGGAGCTCTCGCCGACTGACTCATGCGCAGATGCGTTTTTTAACAATTTTCTTGTGGGCGGGACCACTCGTGGCCATTTTGGATAGCTCCAGTAGAGCACATTTTTTGGCCCACTCCTTTGAACAGTGGAGATAGGTGTGACTACGTCCGTTACAGTCTATGGAGGCACTACAGCCTGCACACGTGAGAGAGAGACTGAGAGAGAGAGACTGAGAGATAGAGAGAGAGACTGTGAGAGAGACACAGGAGAGAGACTGAGAGATTGAGAGAGAGACACAGGAGAGAGACTGAGAGAGAGACTGAGAGATAGAGAGAGAGACTGTGAGAGAGACACAGGAGAGAGACTGAGAGATTGAGAGAGAGACACAGGAGAGAGACTGAGAGAGAGACTGTGAGAGAGAGAGAGAGACTGAGAGATTGAGAGAGAGACACAGGAGAGAGACTGTGAGAGAGAGAGAGAGACTGAGAGATTGAGAGAGAGACACAGGAGAGAGACTGAGAGAGAGACTGAGAGATTGAGAGAGAGACTGTGAGAGAGACACAGGAGAGAGACTGAGAGAGAGAGATTGAGAGAGAGACACAGGAGAGAGACTGAGAGAGAGACTGTGAGAGAGAGAGAGAGAAACTGAGAGATTGAGAGAGAGACACAGGAGAGAGACTGAGAGAGAGACTGTGAGAGAGAGAGAGAGAAACTGAGAGATTGAGAGAGAGACACAGGAGAGAGACTGAGAGAGAGACTGTGAGAGAGAGAGAGAGACAGACACACACAGACACAGACAGTCACTGTCATTAATGCAAAAAAGACGTCTCTCAGATACCGTTTTTTGCACTAAAACCCCAGTGGAATAAATGTGCAAAAGTGAATAAAACAAACCAAAAAGTTCACTGTGAAATAAAAGATCTTTGTTCAAAATGAGGCAAAGCTGTTTTCATTTCATGAAAAAAAATCACTAAAGTAAAAAGTTCAGAAATGTAGCTCGGTTCCAGACCTAAGCTTCAAACTGACCTGAAACTGGACCCATGTGGACTGATCCAGGACGGTTTATGAACTAATGTCTTTTTACCAGAACTCTTTGTCTGTGTCTGATTCTGGTGTTTCTGTTCAGAGGTCTGTGCGGTTCAACCTGAGACCGCTCTGAACCAGTCCAAGACCAGGACCTTGGAGAAAAAGGGTCTTAACTTAAACTTAACTTGTTACATTTGTACACATTAATTATCATTTTAATTATAAATGAATTATGATTATTAATGTATAATTTTACACAAAGTGAATGGAGTTAAAGGTAAAATGCACAAAAAATAATTCATTAAAAATTCTGACTATAAATGATCTATGCAAAGTTACGAAAACCAACATGAGCGGAGTTTTTACAAAATTTACAAAAATAAAAGCCGTCAAAATGACTGCTCTGGGAGTTCTGGCCTCTCCCTAGTCTCTCTCTGATCTCTCACTCTGGTCTCTCTCTGGTCTCTCTCTCTGGTCTCTCTCTGGTCTCTCACTCTGGTCTCTCTGTGGTCTCTCTCTGATCTCTCTCTGATCTCTCTCTGGTCTCTCTCTGGTCTCTCTCTGGTCCCTCTCTCGTCTCTCTCTGGTCTCTCTCTGGTCTCTCTCTGGTCCCTCTCTCGTCTCTCTCTGGTCTCTCTCTGGTCTCTCTCTGGTCTCTCTCTGGTCCCTCTCTCGTCTCTCTCTGGTCTCTCTCTGGTCTCTCTCGCTGGTCTCTCACAGTTCTGGTACCTCAGTGTTAATTCTTGGCAGTTCCAGTGATAATAATAATAATAATAATAATAATAATAATAATAATCATCATCATCAATAATGGTAATCAATAATAATGTATAATTCACATTGTGGATACGTATCGATGCACGTGTTGTTGCGTCAGTTTACGTCCTCCGTAACTCTTAGCAACAGCTGCAATAACTTTATAAATGTATTATTTTACTCTGAAGTGATGCTGATCAACACCCTGACGTCATCACCGCGCGACACACAGTCTTCCCCTTTTCCCCTCACAGCTACATCTTTTCTCCCCATAAAAAAAACACGCTGACAGCTGCTCCATCCACGCTCCCAGACCTTCTCCTCTCTCCTACCCGCCCTGTGAGCCTCCTGCCCCGGGTAGCATCGCGCCAAACCCCCCCCCCCCCGTCTACGCTCACTCCCCGGAACCAGCAACACAACAAACAACAACCGCTGCTCGCTATGATGGCCGCGGAGTGCGTCGGGTTCCAGGCGCAGATCGCGTCCGTGGTGGAGATCCTGGCCAACTCCGCCGTGGCCGAGATCTGCAAACTGGTGGAGGACGGGTACGCGGCGCTGCGCTCCCAGATGGAGCAGGAGCGGCAGGAGAGCGACAAGGAGAACCAGGCTCTGCGGCAAAGACTGCGCCAGATGGACGCGAGAGTGCGCAACTACGAGCGCAAGATGAGGAGAAGGACCAGCGGCGGCGGTGGTGGTGGTCTGCGGGGGGGAGGGCTCACGCAGGCGGCTCTGCTCAGGCCCCAGGAGCAGTACCAGGACCAGGACCAGGAGCAGGACCAGGAGCAGGACCAGGAGCAGGACCAGGAGGAGATGGTGGAGAGTGAGTATCGGGAGAAAAATGTTTGGTAAAAATGGTCCAAATAAATCCATCTGTTTACTGAGGTCGGGCTGCATCCACAGGCCGAGTGGGCGTCGCCTTCTGTCAAATGAGAATCAACCATTTATTTATTATTATTATTATTTTATTTTTTATTTATTTCACCTTTATTTAACCAGGAAAGTCCCATTGAGATTTAGAACCTCTTTTTCAAGGGAGTCCTGGACAAAGGTTACATACATACATATTATTAAACAGTTACATACAATCTTTAATTCAGACGCACAAAGGGTCCATATAAAACAAACGCAACAAGAAAAGAGACAAACAACACGCATACACTAGATGTTTACAGAATTCTATAAAGACAGTTTCTCCAAAGCCTCCAGAGTCAGAGCCGAACACTGCTCTGTGCAGTAAAAACATTACATTTAAAGAGTCCTCAGAGCGTTTTACATGGACTTATAAATACAATGTTTGATCACAGCATTTGTATAACACAATATTTCTTAAGGATTTTATACTAGCTTCTTTATTATTCTAAAGTTAGATATATCATACTAGCTTCTTTATGATGCTAAAGTTAGAGATATCATACTAGCTTCTTTATTATTCTAAAGTTAGAGATATCATACTAGCTTCTTTATTATTCTAAAGTTAGAGATATCATACTAGCTTCTTTATTATTCTAAAGTTAGAGATATCATACTAGCTTCTTTATTATTCTAAAGTTAGATTTTGTCACAACTGTTGCCACAAATCACAACAGTCGTCTCTACTACAGATCAGAGAATCCCTGCCCTGCTTAGCTTCAGACGTCTCCCATCCCAGCACTAACCAAGCCCTGCCCCGCTTAACTTCAGAGGTCTCTGAGAGACCAGAGAGAGACCAGAGCGAGACCAGAGAGAGACCAGGGAGAGACCAGAGAGAGACCAGAGAGAGACCAGGGAGAGACCAGAGAGAGACCAGAGAGAGACCAGGGAGAGACCAGAGAGAGACCAGAGAGAGACCAGAGAGAGACCAGAGAGAGACCAGAGAGAGACCAGAGAGAGACCAGAGAGAGACCAGAGAGAGACCAGAGAGAGACCAGAGAGAGACCAGAGAGAGACCAGAGAGAGACCAGAGAGAGACCAGAGAGAGACCAGAGAGAGACCAGAGAGAGACCAGGGAGAGACCAGTGAGAGACCAGTGAGAGACCAGGGAGAGACCAGGGAGAGACCAGAGAGAGACCAGAGAGAGACCAGAGAGAGACCAGAGAGAGACCAGAGAGAGACCAGAGAGAGACCAGAGAGAGACCAGAGAGAGACCAGAGAGAGACCAGAGAGAGACCAGAGAGAGACCAGAGAGAGACCAGAGAGAGACCAGAGAGAGACCAGAGAGAGACCAGAGAGAGAGACCAGAGAGAGAGACCAGAGAGAGAGACCAGAGAGAGAGACCAGAGAGAGAGACCAGAGAGAGAGACCAGAGAGAGAGACCAGAGAGAGAGACCAGAGAGAGAGACCAGAGAGAGAGACCAGAGAGAGAGACCAGGGAGAGACCAGAGAGACCAGAGAGAGACCAGAGAGAGACCAGGGAGAGACCAGGGAGAGACCAGGGAGAGACCAGGGAGAGACCAGTGAGAGACCAGAGAGAGACCAGTGAGAGACCAGTGAGAGACCAGAGAGAGACCAGTGAGAGACCAGAGAGAGACCAGAGAGAGACCAGAGAGAGACCAGAGAGAGACCAGAGAGAGACCAGAGAGAGACCAGAGAGAGACCAGAGAGAGACCAGAGAGAGACCAGAGAGAGACCAGAGAGAGACCAGAGAGAGACCAGAGAGAGACCAGAGAGAGACCAGAGAGAGACCAGAGAGAGACCAGAGAGAGACCAGAGAGAGACCAGAGAGAGACCAGAGAGAGACCAGAGAGAGACCAGAGAGAGACCAGAGAGAGACCAGAGAGAGAGACCAGAGAGACACCAGAGAGAGACCAGAGAGAGAGACCAGAGAGAGAGACCAGAGAGACACCAGAGAGAGACCAGAGAGAGAGACCAGAGAGCCTCACCGACAAAAGGACGACATAGATTTTAAGTTTATGTTTCAAGGCAGTTTCAGAAACACTTTGAACTGTCCTTCTTCTTATCACCAGAGTGAGACACAACAACAGTCTGGTTAAGACAGATCTCCACAAAGCAAGAGACACAACATCACCATATTATTATTTTAAATATACTGACAACAAGTTACGGAGAACTGATTAAACCCATTTCGCTCCAAAAGTAGAAATCAGAGTAACATACAATACAATAAAACACAGAATAACTCAGTTCAGAGTCTCGTGGTCACATGACTGGTTTATTTTGTACTTCTGTTTTTCCCAGATTTTTCCGTCATGACACAGTGAATACTCATCTGGTCTGTGTCAAAAGCTGAAGATGTTTTGAAAGTTTCTGATGAATGATGTGTCTGTCTTTAGTCTCTGAAGACCTGATCGTCCCGGTAACCATCGGCGACGACGGAATGGCACCTCTCTCTCAGAGACCAGAGAGAGACCAGAGAGAGACCAGAGAGAGACCAGGGAGAGACCAGGGAGAGACCAGGGAGAGACCAGAGAGAGACCAGAGAGAGACCAGAGAGAGACCAGAGAGAGACCAGAGAGAGAGACCAGAGAGAGACCAGAGAGAGACCAGAGAGAGACCAGAGAGAGACCAGAGAGAGACCAGAGAGAGACCAGAGAGAGACCAGAGACAGACCAGAGACAGACCAGGGAGAGACCAGGGAGAGACCAGGGAGAGACCAGGGAGAGACCAGAGAGAGACCAGAGAGAGACCAGAGAGAGACCAGAGAGAGACCAGAGAGAGACCAGAGAGAGACCAGAGAGAGACCAGAGAGAGACCAGAGAGAGACCAGAGAGAGACCAGAGAGAGACCAGAGAGAGACCAGAGAGAGACCAGAGAGAGGAGAGACCAGAGAGAGACCAGAGAGAGGAGAGACCAGAGAGAGACCAGAGAGAGACCAGAGAGAGACCAGAGAGAGACCAGAGAGAGACCAGAGAGAGACCAGAGAGAGACCAGAGAGAGACCAGAGAGAGACCAGAGAGAGACCAGAGAGAGACCAGAGAGAGACCAGAGAGAGACCAGGGAGAGACCAGGGAGAGACCAGGGAGAGACCAGGGAGAGACCAGGGAGAGACCAGGGAGAGACCAGAGAGAGACCAGAGAGAGACCAGAGAGAGATTCGAAAGACCAGAAAGAGACCAAAGAAAAACCAGAGAGAGAGACCAGAGGGAGACCAGAGAGAGACCAGAGAGAGACCAGAGAGAGACCAGAGAGAGACCAGAGAGAGACCAGAGAGAGACCAGAGAGAGACCAGAGAGAGACCAGAGAGAGATTCGAAAGACCAGAAAGAGACCAAAGAAAAACCAGAGAGAGAGACCAGAGAGAGAGACCAGAGAGAGAGACCATCTCTCTGAGGATGTTTTGAAAGTTTCTGATTGATCTGATGAATGATGTGTCTGTCTTTAGTCTCTGAAGACCTGATCGTCCCGGTAACCATCGGCGACGACGGAATGGCGCCTCAAGCTGACGCAGAGGTAACAATCCAGGTTCAATATTTAGAATTCAGTTTTTAACAGTGTCTGACTCCGGGACCAGGACAGAGTATGTTACCATCAGAGAAACTACTGCTCTGCTAGTTTGTGCGCATTGTTTGTTCATTCATTTTCTTCCGCTTTATCCGTTGCCGGGTGGCGGAGGCAGCAGTCTGAGCAGAGACACAGAATTCCCCCTCCACAGATGCCTCCTCCAGCTCATCTGGGGGAAGACCGGAGAGAGACCGGAGAGAGAGACCGGAGAGAGAGACCGGAGAGAGAGACCGGAGAGAGAGACCGGAGAGAGAGACCGGAGAGAGAGACCAGAGAGAGAGAGAGACCGGAGAGAGAGACCGGAGAGAGAGACCGGAGAGAGAGACCGGAGAGAGAGACCGGAGAGAGAGACCGGAGAGAGAGACCGGAGAGAGAGACCGGAGAGAGAGACCGGAGAGAGAGAGAGAGAGAGAGGAGAGAGTATTGAAAATTGACTAGAGCTGCTTAAAAGTGCTTCACCCGAAAAAAAACACTGATTTACACACTGCTCAAGGGAGTCCTGCAACTTGTTTTAATTCTTGTTTGTGTTTCTTGTGTTTTTCTCTCCCCGTTCTCCTCCCTTTCTCTCTATCCTTGGATCTCTTGCTCCTGTGGGCTCTCTCTCTCACGGCTCTTTGCGTCACTCTTCTCCTAGTGTCTTCTCTTTCTTTCTCTACCGCATCTCTAGCTCCTTGCGGTCTCTCTCTCCCTCCCTCCTCCCGTCTCTCGCACCTGTGCTTCGCAAAGACTTGGTTGGCATGCGGAGCGGAGAGCCAGCATCTAGAGTGTGTGGTATTTTTAATAATATGCTGGTTCTCTATCTTTACAGTTTTTTATTTAATAATGTGTGTGGACGTTTTTTGACATTGACGATATTAATCGCATAATTTATTTGAATTTTTGATGGTTAAATTCTGACTGTTAAAGTTCATGTGCCTCCCCAATACAACATCACAGCACGTCTTGTTTAATGAATATACATTAGCGAAATAAAACAAAATACAGTCTAAGCAAAGAATTGTTATATTGTTATACATTGTTTTGCCCAGATGATGTTCGTTTAGAGCAAATGAATAATGCTGAGACCCCTCTTTCACAGGCTTCATAAAAACCATCTTTTGTTTTCTTCTTTGTCAACGTAAAAAAGGGCCAAAGTTCTTCTCTTCTCTTTCTCCCAGTCGTGGACATGTTCTGTTCTTTTCTTCAATCAATGGATATTTTACAAGCTACGTGAGGTGGTGTTGTGGTTTAGCGTTAGCAATAGCTTCTTGTTGAACAGCTGGCGCCACACTGGTGATTACTATGACAAGCCCTTCATTGGTCCTCATGCCATATACTGCGACCAATTGATTCTGGTTGTTTTCTCATTTCCCATACTCTATCCCCTTCTTCTGAATTGTATTTCTCATGGACTTTTTTTTGTCCGTTCTTTTATTCGTGGACTAAAATATGTCTTCGTCCCCTAAAATATATTTTGTGACAAAAAATATCACGATTAATTTTGTCAACGAAATTTAATAACACTGCCATTCATTCCTACGGAGCCGGGGCATATAAGGGGGGAATACAAAAATAAAAAAAAAGTGAAGAAAAAAAAAAACCAAGTAGAGTAAAAAAAAAATAGGTATCTCGAGATACCTATTGTTTGGAGACGTATCGCGAGATACCTCTCCGAAACAGACCCGTGGAAGTAGCTTAGCGGTGCTTCCGGCTAATGCTGTCAACTAACCATGGGCAACCAAACACCGTCAGTGGCCGAAGGGTTTATGTAAATGGATGACTAAGAAGGACATATAAAAAATAGCCAAAACACAAGTTTTTTTTCAGACTAAAATGTGTGAAGATTTTTGAAGACAATTTTGATGAATACTTTCTTGGGGGGGGGGGGGGGGCCTTTTTCCCCCGAGCCACGGCCGTGAATGCGTGGAACGCATGTTAGCTTGAACCATCCTCCTTGGGACCCGGATCTCGCGTACACGTCACGTGTCTATGGTACGTACCTGACATTATTGCTTTACTTCTTGAGTTATGAACACGACTGTTTATGATTCAATACAGGCGTTTTATATTACCATACACGTTGCCAAGGACACAACAACAGCAGACAGTGGGAGTCCAGGTGAATGTCTTGAGCGGGGCTTGAACCCTGTATGAAATTACGAATTCGGTAGAGGCTTATTATTAAAGCACTTTTCGTACAATAATCTGTTATTATAGTGGGCCCGATGCAGTGTGGGAGTGGTGCCAACCACACCTCAAGTACTTATGTAGGGCAAGACCCCAGGTCTGGTTCAGACCTGCATCCCCTTCAGTTCAAGACACAACAGTTGCCTATATGCTGAGAAAGGTTGGTTTTGGGGAGGAAATATGACCATTATTATCTTAGTTAATTATTGGTACATGTGTTTTATGTTATAATGACCATATGACTGAATTAAAAACCATGTTGTTTACAGATGAAATATAACTCTAATTAGTCTGATATAATTATGCATCATAGACAAATCACTTTGAATATTCTGTTTTTTCAGTGCAATTCACCAAATATTTTCCTCAATCTACTTTAATTCCCAACAATCTATAAAAGACTTCATTTGAATCATGATTCAGGTGGAATATTTCATTACCTGAATCTTAGTTGGTTGTAATGTGGAGTAAACTTAAATAATGGGTATCTAGCAGGTTGGATACAGGATGGTCTATAGGAGGTGTATAAAGTAGGTGTGTCAGCAGTTGTATACAGGAGGTGTATCCAAATGTGAATGGTTTTCAACAGAGATCTCTCGCTCAAGTGTTCCACGTGCGCTCAGGGGGGTTTGTTTTTTGCCTGACCCACACCAAAATTAGAAGGGAACATTGCTTTAGGATCAATAATTTTCACCGTTTTTAATCAAGTTAGGGTCATGAATGTCCTAGAACAGAGTGGGCTCTCTCATGTCGCATGTTCTGAAGAAATGCTGCGTAACAGGAGCAGCAGCAGCAGGGCGTCTGCCTTCTCCTTAGTAGAGGAAGAAACCTGGGAAAATAAATATAAAAAATCATAACATGTTGCTTTTAATATGATTTTGTTATTTTTATCTGAAGTGTTTAAAGCTATGGAAACCCGTTTCCGCCATGTAAAAAAAAAAAAAAAAAAAAAGCCCACAGCAAGTTGAAATGCGCGTTGGAGATTTTATAACACTATGGGTGTGGTTAGCTACACCTAATCCTGGATACTTATCTCATAAACAATCCTAAGGTTCTGTTTGATGTAGAAGGGAGCAGGTCTCTAACAACCTGCTGAGGCTTAACGACCCCTAACTCATTAGCATGTAACTGACCTTGTCCCAAGTTAGGTCGTATGTTTTAAGATGTCGTCACAGATGCCGAGGCAACAACAAAATCCTTAAACCTCCTCCTATGTTAAGAGAAGGTTTTTGTTTCCTCACAAAAATGGCTTCTTTAAACCCTCTCTCAAACCAATTTCCTTCTACCGAGCCAGAATTTTAAGCATCGGGTCAATTCCACCGTGTATTGGAGGCCCTTGAGGTGGAGAGAAAAGCAGACTGTGGCCCACTAGAGTTTTCTTCTACACAATGTTTGGTAAAGTCGTTTCTGTAGAGTTTGTTTAGTTTCTCCAATATAGTGGTCAAAGTACACTCCTCTTATCTACATTTAATTGATTTCACCACATTGCTCTGTTTGTGTCTGGGTTGTTTTTGTCCTTAGGGATGAACAATTTCTGTCTTTAATGTGTTGTTCGGTTTGAAAACTACATAGGGATTTTGTTGTTCTTGCCTAAAGATTCTTTGTAGTTTCTTGAAACTCCCGCCACATACGGTTAGGACACCCCTCTCCCTCCTAACTTTTCTTATGTCTGTTGGGACTGTGTCTCTGGCCTTTTCTCGTCCTTTGGGCTTTTTTAAAAGACCACTTGGGGTAGCCAATCTGGATAGTGCTCTCTGACAATGTTTGGTTTACTATTGTTCTTTCCTTACGAGCTTGTGGGGGACCTGGTGGGCTCGGTGTTTGAAGCGTTTATCGAATGACCCCGAGTTTGTGTTGTTGCGGATGATTTGAATCAAAGGCCAAGTACTGTCAGTGTGAGTGGACTTTCTGAAGACCTCAGTATCTAATTCGTCCGTTCGCAAGGTTGATGACCTTTGTGAATTTCATAACATATGATAGCCAACTTTTGTTAAAATCATCATTCTATCAATGTGCAGAGCCTGACTTTTCCCTTGTTTTGTTCTATATGAAGGCCAAGCTACATGGCACCGTGGGAAGCTGTGATTGGAGGTCTCCATGCCTCGACTCGTATAATACACTTGCATGTCTGTTGTTTGTGTTGTTAGTGCTGTCTTCTACAATCGACAATAAAACTGTCTTCTTTCTGAATTTAAGACGCGATCCAAGACTATTCATCTTCTTCAGGTGGTGAAGGCGATGCCTCAGGCCCCCTTGGGGGGTACTGTAACATCTACAGTACAGAAGGTCTTTTTTTTTTACACAAATATGTATTTTTTTTAAGCCAAACTGAGGACAACCCTCAGAGAGAAACCATGCATCTGGTTCCTGCCAACTTGGACAATCTGCACAGCCCACTGATTCCAGTCAGACCGCTTGCCTGTGAAGCTGCTGAGACTGGACCATTTACCTTAGTCCTCTTTTGCCATGGACATGTTTGGAACAATTGGATTTCTGAATTTGGACATAATTTGGACTGAATTGAATTGCTGATCTGGGACACTGTTGTATTAATATAGACTAATGGCAGATGTGAATTTGATTGGACCCGGAATTGAAATCTGTCTCTTTCCCAAGCACAAAAAGGACCTGGTATCCCTTGGTTCCTTGGTAGTCAAAAGTGGCAGAAAATATGAGTTAATGATATGTAATCTGGGGGGATTCTGCTATCCTTTCGTTTGTTTGAAGAAGGAGGTGGACCCTTGAAATGGCCTCCTGTCTTTATCTCAAGGAAGTAATATTTCTATAGTATTAGGGGAGGGGTAGTGCGTGGAATTGATTTCTTGTTCTGGTCTGGCAAGACGGAGGAAAGGCCGCCGGACCCTGGGACCCGTAGCTGCCTGATACTACACGCCCCCTTCTTCCTGGACATCTGCTCTTTTTTGCTTGGCCTGGAGGCTTGGAGTCAGTCAGCGCAGGGCCTGAGAGGGACAGCATTAGACCTAGTTTTAGGAGGCTCTCATTTTGTTTGAATGTTATGTATCTGATTGTCAAGATAAATTAACTACAGATGTTATACTTGGTGATCTTTTTGTCTGATTTCTGTACAAAAATTGTCCCTGGTTGAAGAGAGAGAGGTCTCAGCCCAGCATGACTGCAGGTGTGGACAGACCCGCAGTGACGGGCGTTTTATCGGACGCGATAAAACAGTAGTCAGGTTTTGACGTTTTAGCCTTGAGGGAAGATTGGGTCCCCTCTAAAAAAAGAGAAAAGAAAGTCCACAAGAGTTTAAGAGTGCAAAAGAGGCACACCGTTTTAGAAGTGCAAAAGAGGCACAAGTGTTTAGTGAAAATAGAAATAGAATTAGAAATAGGGACAGCTATTTTCCCCGCCCGGGGGGCGGGAAAAAGGGTACATTTAATTTAAACAAAAAAGCCAAGTATTTAAACTGTTGGATTCTGACTATTGAATAATAATGATCTGATTAATCAGGATCAGAGAGCCACTTGGCTGTAGATACGAGTTTCATGTGGAGAAATGACAAAAGGATCAGTTCTGGGAGTTCTCTTGTATTGTGCTGTAATGTTTTAATAGTTACAGAGGTACTACTATTATGAAAAAAGAGGAATACACTTATTAGGAAAGAGATGAACAATTCTGACATGTTTGATTGATCCTGCTGTAACTAGTAATACATTATTCATGTAAGCAAATTGTAATGTTTTCCATTACTGACGTATTTAATGATAAGACAGATAGTGTAAAGTGTCGTTTGACGTGAGAAACTCTCACCACTGATTAAAACATTGTCACGATAAAAAACGAGGAAAATGTAGAAAATTTTAAAGGGGATGTTCATGAATTTGGTGTGTTTCTGTCGTACATGTTCTCCTCTGTT